AGGCGTTCTGCGTATTGTTCATGTGTATTTTGTTTGGCGATATTTCTAGTTCAGCTATCTAACTAACACAGTGGCCAGAATGATGCAAGAAATTAATACATCTAAACAAAATCAGGGACAATCTACGGGGGACAAGATGCAGTTTAAACGAGCGGACAGAGCGAGACAATAGGTCAAGCGTCAATTGAATTGAATGGAAACAGAAAATTGTGGGTATTTGTAGAAAGCTCCCCCTACAGGATATTTCGCTTCAAAGAAAAAGGTAGGCCAAACAAAAAGTGGAAACATCCGCCGACTTAGAAATACATTGATTAGGCCAACATAGCCATGACAACACCGCAAACAATACCGGCCACGCCTGAGATACCTACAGACTTGCTGGCACCGGCAGTGAAGACAGGACTTTCGGGATTAGTCCCAGTCGACGCGCCTGCATCGGTCTCCGTCGGAGCGGTAGCCTCCTGGGTTGCAGAGGTGGTGCGGCTCGCGGAGGTTGTGGTGGAAGCAAAGCTAGACGACGATGCAACACGGCTCGAGGAGTGGATAGTCCATGACGAGTGGGAAGGACTGCGGATGGGGGCAACGCTCGTGGGTGCCGGCTCAGGTGCCTGTCGTGACTCGGTGGCGCCAACCGGGCTAGCTCCCTCTGGGTTACCCTGATCGGTAGGGGCTGGGGTCGACGCAGCTGGGGGAACGGTGCCAGCCTCGATGCTGGTTTCAGAGGATGGGGACTGTTCGGGCTGTTGGGCACTTGGGGTCGGTGCGCTAGATTCACCAGGCGTCTCCTCGGCAGGAGTTTCGGGGGAAACATCGGTGGGAATGGAAGTACCGCCGTTCACGGTTGTTCCGGGCTGCGAAGCGACAGGTTCCTGAGCGGTTGGGGTGGCAGCAGCGGGGGTAGCCGCGGACTCGACCGTGGAGCTTGTCGGGGAGACGCCGGTCTCTCCACCGCCGAGGGTTTGGATAGATCCCTTCTGAGTGGAGGCTCTGCAAATGGTCGTGGTCTCCGTCACATAGATCGTGGTTTCCGAGATAGCATCAGCACCCTCATCGCTATCATCTGACGAAGGGCTCTCTGGGGCAGCAGTGGTCTGAGTCGAAGGAGCTGGGGCAGCGGTGGTTTCGGCACTGGCAACGCTGGTCTGGGGACTGGCAGGTTCGGGGACTGCGCTCGAGGTTGCAGGAGCCTCGGCAGAGGCCGTCTCTGGGGCAGGAGCGGTAGTGTCGGAAGGAGGTGCGGAGGTGGCGGATGGAACGCTATCTGTTGTCTTCGATGCAACAGCAGTGACGGTCTCCGCTTGCGAAGCAATGGATGCGGTCGCATGGCCAGTACCAGTCTGGAACAGCTTGATGTAGTTGATTTCCCAGTAGGCTTCCTTGAAAGCGGCAGGGTTTGCGGCCACATAGTTGACACAGCTCTGGATAGGGTTGCTGGGGTCGCTGACCGGGCAGCCGGAGTCGCCGAACACACCACCAGCCCAGTCGCCGCAGAAGGTGGTGTCAAGGATGAATTTCTGCGACTTGAAGCGCGCGCCGAAATCGCAGGTCCCCTGCAGGTGAGCCATCGGGGTGCCAAAGGCCGTCGTGTCGGGGCTACCCTCGGTAATGGACTTGGGAATTTCGCTGCGAGCGAAGTACCAAATCTTAACAAAGCTCGAGGTCCATTCCATAGCATAGACACCGCCATTCTTCTCGTTAAACGGGATGCCGGAAGAACCAGTCTTGCCTTTAACCACACAGCCGACGGTCCCAGACGCTTCGCCGCACTCATTGGATGTCATTGTGCCGGTCATGTCGTTTTCGTTGGACAAGGCGCACGAACCGCTCGTATGCAGGACAATCTCGTTGGCTTCGTGCTTGTTGACACCCTCAATGATATCGATTTCACCGTCATAGGGCCAATTGGGTCCCACCGACCAGAAAGCGGGCCACGTACCGCAGACGCTACCCGGCATGTGCTGGAGGTCGATAATGTACAAACCTTCATCATAGTACTCTTTGCTCTCAATACGGACCGACTCTCGACCCGGTCCGTTGGGGCTGAGCTCGGTCTTGTAGTCAACGCCCATGTAGAAACTACCACTGTCGGTCACCTGGATGAGACCCGAGCTCTCTGCGTAGCTTTGGTTGGTATATGTGACGAATCCATTGGTTGGGTCGGCACCGCTGAAGAAGTTGAAATGGTCGAGAAACTTTTCTCCCTGCCAGGCTTCAATCAGCTGATAACGGCTACCAGCGCCGTCTGCGATCGTAGGAGTGATCAAAGAAGAAAGAGCGATGGACCCTACGGTCCACACGAAGGATGAGGAGGACATCCTGATTGCTGTGGACTAGTCAAGCGACCAGGCAAAAGGAAGGTAAACAAGTTCAAAGAAAGCAAAAGGTAAAGACCAGGGGATCTCAGATCAGGTCAAATCTTGGAAGGGCTCTAGGGATTATTACGAAAAGGAATGGAAATCCAACCGTCAAGGCTGGCAAAGTTGGTAAGAAAAGAAAAGACTGTAAGAAGAATGCAGACGTCAGTCTGCACCAACACGATGGTTTAGAAAAGAATGTAAGTTGTTTAGATTTTAAAACTAAAAAGGGAAGGGAAGAACAAAACACAGGAGAGAACACAAAATCCAAAAGTATAAGAGCGCAGGGGACATTCGATATAATAAACAAACGGAAAATCCCCAGTGGACCCTCCATCAAGGCCGGTAGCCCGTATTTTGTGCAGGCCCCTGGACAACCTTCGCAGAACCTTTACCATAATGGTCATCGTGGAGAATTGGCAACCACCTATGACAGTGGCTAGATCCATACAGCAGGCGCCATTAGGCTCACGACTCGCTAGGCGGCTGTTCATGCCAAGTCGCGCCACAGGGGTCAGGGCGAATCAGTGTTCATCTTAGGCTGCAGATACAAATGTCTGGCTTGTGATGAATTCCGATGGGGCGCGCCTCCATTCTTCGCTCAAGCATGCCAGTGGGCCGGCGACAAAGTTACATCGCCAAGGGCCTGTAGGGTAAAGCGGTCGGGATCCTGAAACGTGAACATCTCCTGGGCGGGGAGACTATGAAACACAGGAGGCGCCTATCTTTGGGGCTGAAGAGACGCGGCTGTTTCTACTGAATTGGCCCAGTACCCATCGCAGTGAATTTGTCATTAACATCATCATTCTGCGTCTGGGCGATGTTAGGTAGGGAATTGTAAGATGGGATGTTGTTCATTCCCAGTATGGTGCCTGGCAACAATCCATTTTCGAGGCGCGCAGACTCTTCCCGAGCGACCGTTGGATCAACCGCTGACAGCTGCGGAAGAGCCAGCCGATCTGAGGGCCATGGCCAACCTCATAGGCGGACCAGATTTCGCACTCAACGAGCTCCAATTTAGTGCCTGAATTTCTCGCGTCGGCTATGTGGACTGGACCGAGTTCTAGACACGCGGTGGAGCAAGTGTGGCAACGGCGTAGTTGCTCCGTGTGGACTAGTCCAATAAGGAGGATGAGTCGTCGACCGATAGATGATCAATTGGGTGGTCAATACGTAGTTCATTGGGGACACAGCGAAAGCCAGCGAGAGAGATAGAGAAAGAAAGAAGAGAGGAGGGATTTCTTTGTGCGCGACAGGAATGTCATCTGACTGGCTGTGCCTTTGCAAACAAACACCAAACAAACACAGTACGGCGGACGAGATCGCCCACTACAGCAGCTTCAATCTCCCCTTCAACCTTTTTCCCATTTTTTAAAAAGAAACATTTTTAACTCCGACCTCTGACTAATGAAATGCGCTTTGTGATGTCTCCGTACGACCCGAATGCATGGATTAATCTTTCATAATTTCCCGAATGATCTGCTATATTTAATCAATTCAATTTAACCATCAGACTAGCTATGAACCTCCCCCTATTTTTATCTCGCTATCTAACTATCTATCTATAGTGCAGTCCGGCAATGTTGATATTAGGATCAGGAACTTCCCGTCTGGTCCCACGGATCCTTCCGCCTTTTCTCCGAATCATAGACTTTCGTGGCGGAAAACTACTGAACATTCTTCCATCCGCTTATTTTATTTCCCTCCATACCAACAAAGGGGGGCGACGACCCGTCATACCGAGCTGATGCGGTCCAATCTCGCATAAGCCATACCAAACGATGAGCACTGGCACAACAGTAGTATTATCACACCGTCTACTCGTAGTCCTGTGAGACTACGAGCATATCCCGGCTCCACATGGATGCCGTCCTTGCCCTCCCACCAACCCTAATATGTATATTCATTAAGTAACATGGTAAGACCATTTATGACAAGAACATCCTTCGATTCCTCCACTGTGGACTGAGACTATCGTCGGCTTTGTCAATAAAATCCGAATTTCATCCTGGAACTTGTCCTATGAAATCGTAGTCGTCGTCTTGAAATCCTAGATTAGCCGGATATGTCCGAATTAGGCAAATGTCTGCACAGTACATACTCTAACTACTACTACTAGTAGTAGTAGCAGGAGCCCATAGCTGCTCCAGGTACCACATGAATCGGCCCGAAATAGGAATTGTCTTTAAGTCATCTGGATCAACCAGGAAATGTCGCTATCGGAATCTCCCCCGTTCGCTTGCTATACATGAAACAAACTATTGATGTGCCTCGTGGCTCGCCGGGCTAAATTAATAAAAACGGCTCCTTATTAGATGTCAGTTCTTCGGTGGATAGCGAATTAAACTTAACGATGTCTTGGTCCAACGTCCCGTTGTTTTTATTTAGATGTACAAGTTGTTATGTGGGGATATCGAGTCAGGTAGAACGGCCACCACCAGATCCAAATTGAGCTACCGTGAGAGAGGCTGACTGTTCTTTGTATAGAGAGGATCCTACACCGTATCCCGCTTCTTCATGGCACATTTTCCTCGTGTCACTTGATTTGCTGTTAATCACTTCTGAGATACTCCGTTCATTCATATCAGGTTGAGATCACTAGATAATCCGCCAATGACAACCCAGGAGACCACCTTTATAGTATCATCACAGCTTTTCAGCCCGCGTCCTCCTGCCTGTATCAATTTCAATCCACCACGGGTAGTTCGGCGGCGCATGTTCTAACGTTGCCGTGAAATTGGGCTTTCGCTTCTCTAGAAAAGACTTGGTCCCTTCGTGCATGTCCCTGGGGCGTGTTAGGATGTACTAACAACAGTTTTCAAGTAGCGACAGATATCCCACTGACTCAGAAACAAATACATACCTCCCATCAAACATATGATAGATCACTGTCGAATCAACAATATGAGCTCCCTCAGCAGTCCCGGGATTACGCCACATCAAGGCATGATTCAAATGCCACGCGAGTAGACTAACATTCTCCGCAATCTCGGTCGCCAATTCCAGTGCACGAGAGAGAACCTGCGAAGGATCAGGTCGAGTCTCTGCAAACAGCGATCCGAAATGCGGCGATGTGGGCGGCAAGACATGGCCGGTGGTCAACAAGTACATTGCGCGCGAGTATCCAATCAGCCGAGGAAGGAAGAACGATGAACTGGATTCCAGGGTTAGCCCGCGACGGGCGAAGACGAATCCGTACTTGGCCTGCTCGCATGCTATGCGGATCGCGCAGGGTAGGGTCATGGCGATGCCTACGCCGACGGCGGAGCCTTGGAGGGCGGCGATGGTGGGCTTGCGGCATCGGTAGATGGCGAGGGCCATACGACCGCCACTATATGCTTAGCACTTCTGTGTCGTGTTCTGTGTTTGGATACTTACGGGTCGCGAAACTCGAGCGGCCGCTCTTTAACCGGTTTGAACGGCTCCTTCAGGTCGGCGCCAGCGCAGAAGATCTTCCCTGTTGCCGTCAACACGACAACCTTGACTCGCTCGTCCACGTCAAACAGTGGATACAGCTTCTCGAATGCATTCATGAGATGTGTGGAAAATGCATTGTTCTTGTCTGGTCGGTTCAGTGTCACCACTACTACGGGTGTTGCGACCGGGACACCCTCCGGACGATGCGAGACCTTGACATCAGTGAGAGGGAGTGTCTCGTAAGACTTGGGAATATCAAGAGGAGGCGGAGCTGGTACCATTCTGGGAGTTGCAAGTCTGACTGCTTCTCCTATGATAATGATTCTAAGATTAATATCTGGCTCCATCGTGAGTATGACGTACATCCCCTTCTCTCCCCGCTTAACTTCACCTCTGATGCACATACCAAACTATATAAAAGGGTAAACATTCAGACATACAGAACTATAACTTCGAAAACATGCCCTCCCTCTCCGCCCTAACATCCAACTCCTGCGTCCACGTACTCCTCGGTTGCGTATACAAGAACCAATAAATCTCCGCCAGATTGTGAGGCTGCATAACATACCGATGCATCTCCTGCAACTTCTCGGATTCACCCTCCCTCTCCCATTTCTTCCGCAACCACCCCCCAATGATATCACTCTGCACGGGTCCATCGACAATAAGATGCGCCGCATGAATACCCTTACTCTGAAACTCCCTAGTGATAATTTGTGATAGGGCGCGAAGCCCAAACTTTCCCGGCGAGAAACTACTCAACCCGGGACTCCCGCGAATCGACCCCGTCGCACCGGTGAAGATAACAGTGCCCTCCCCGGCGGCCAACATATCGGGGAGGACACACTTGGAGGCGAAAAAGGCACCGAACATATTGATGCGGGTGAAGTTTTCGAACTCCTCCGAGGATGTCTCGAGGATAGTCCGCGGACGAATGCGTCTCGACCCGGCGTTGTAGATTAGCACATGGACAGGGCCGAGATCTTCCTTGATGGAAGTAAAGGTCTTGATCACGCTTGATTCATCCCGAACATCGGTGACGTAGTATTTTGCCGAGTTGGGGTGGGACGCGTTGATTGAGTCTTGGATTTTGGAGAGTTTGTCTTCTGTTCGGGCGATCAGCGCTACGCTGAAGCCTTTCGAGGCGAAGTGGCGCGAGACTGCTTCGCCGATGCCTGGGCCGACGCCTACGACGGCCAGCACGCGGTTATTCTTAGGGTTGTAAGACATGGTGGGTTTGTGTTCTTGTTGATTTCTGGGGGATTGTGGGGTGCGGGGATGGTCGTTGATATATATACATTTACATTGGAGGATGATTAAATTGTTGGATTATATGATTGTGATCGGTTCCGACGGGCCGAGGCTGGTGATTAGTAAATCGTTACTGCAACACCACACCTTCATGGAAGTATAGAACATCAATCATTAATGAAGATGGCTAGATTGTTTTCTTGTCCGTTGTTAAGATTTCATTTCCAAATCTCTTTTCCACACTAAACGAAATATATTGCAGGGTATCTTTGATGTATATGTTTTATATGGACTTTGAACTACCTATACATATATTGGTGAAGCTTGGCTGCGGTCACAGAATAATCATAAAGCTAAAGGGGGGAAAAGAGAAAAATAAGAATAAGAATAGAAGAAGAAAAAGAAGTAGAAGAGAAAAAGCAGCCAACACCTCTCAACGCCAACTAAGCATGTGGATGACTTCCAGGAGGACCTCCTCTGAACCCAGCACACTTGGGATCAGACAGCGGCAGTTTTTCACCGTCACACTTACAGTTGCAAGCCGGATCAATCGCATACTCACTCACTGACTGCCAGCATTGCTTCCTGAAGAAATGGTCAGCATCTTCCCATTGCATACATGTTAACCCAGTGAAATGGAAACTTACGTCAGCTCACAACCACTCTCCGAAGTGAAGGGCTTCTCGCGATCCTTGAGCCACTCGCTATAGGGCTCTCCAAGATAGTCACAGAACACCTCGCGGGGATCATTGCCGACATGGCAGTTCTTCTGTTCATTGGGTTGGGTCTCGTTCGGCATCAAGAATCCGGACCCAGGCCCAGACAGGTACTGCGGACCGTCAAAGGCGTTCGAGTTGTCAGGGCCCCATCGGGGATCTAATCCGTTATCTTTCCAATCCCACTTTTCGTTGAACCAGTTGTTGGTCCAGAACCAGGCGTAGTTGTCCGCTGGTTAGTCAAGGTTAGTGTGGAATCATCATGGAATTCAGATGCGTCGATTAACGTACCATTATACTTGACGCCTACGCTCGGGGGACTCCCAGAGTACCATGCAAGAACGGTGGACCACTCAGCACCGTAGACATTCTACACAAGTTGTCAGTCTGATAACACATGGTAGGGGAATATGGTACATACTTTTTCCTTGAGCGGCTTGTTAGGATTCGTTGCTGTTATGTCCATGACTGATGAAATTCTAGTTAGGACTGAGCTGTTGATGGAGGGACAGTGTAGAAGCTCACCATGGAACGATGACCCAAGAAGATCCACGTGAGCCCATTCATGGGCCAGCGAGTGCTCGTAGCTAACCAGGTCAGGTAAGCTTTGAGCAGACTTCTTCTCGCCATTTGTTATATCATTCAGGTATTTGAGGCGAAAGAAGTCATCACAGAGGCTTATCTCCCATCCTGTATCGGTATTTCCAGTTATGCTTCTAGGCCATCAAGGCAAGGGTATGCAGTCATGACGACTTACCGTACTTAGTTTTGTTATTAAACGTTATCCTATTCAGAGTCAGTAAGTACAGGATGCCATAGTAAGGAGATCGTATACGTACTGTTCCGGGTTAATATGGCAACGAGACTTGGGCCCAGACGGGCAGCGATAGGTAACCTGATTCTCCCGCTTCTTCTTATCTTTACCGACCTTTCCTAGGCGAGGGAACATATTGACTTGAGTCATGACGTCTAAATCATGCACCGGCATTAGTGCATAGTCTTCTCATCTTCCCAGTGGCAACGGCTTACTATGAACTTGGAGGTAGTCAGGCCGATGCTTCTCGGACTGTCGATCGGATGAACTGAGTTAGCAAACAAGGAACTGTTGATGGACATGAATATTCTGCCTGAAGTCGGAACTTACAGCCCACCCATCCACTCCCGCGGGATCTGCGACGAAGAAACGCTGCCATCCCGGCGTGTCCATGGGCTTGGTAGTCCTCTTGGTCAACTCTAACATCATCCGAGTAGACTCAACCAATATATCAAATTGTCGATCACTGCATTCTACCAGAGCGGTCTTCCAGTAGATGCCTTGATATGCATTTTCAATATCGGTTATGTTTCTCTGGCTTTGTACCGTGGGAGATGCAAGACACAAGGGCAGGAGGAAAGCAAAAAGAGGGATTTGAAGCATTATGCACATGAGGTTGCTTGCCATCATACACGTGCGGTTGGATATAGTATCCACAAGAACTCAGAATTAACCAGGGCGAGACCATGGGGTACACATCGTTATAAGAGTATTTCAAAATGAACCGTTCTCTGGGCGCTTAAGCCATCCATGGCAATGTGGGTAATGAAGGATCAAGTTGTCTATTGTCACCGGTACGCACAATACCGAAATAGGGTCACCGGGCGTCAGAATTCGTCTCTACTGGAAGACACTGTTTCAGTGTAATTGTGTTGACAAGGATGAAAATAGGTTGGCGACATTGTAAACTCCCACCTCGCCCGACTTGCAATACATGATGGCTCGTGTAGTGGAATATATCAATGGGCCCCGTTTCGACTCTAGACATTGCGGGAAATACCAGAGAGAATCTCTAGTAGAATATCTACCACGAACAGGGAGAAACAGTGATGAGAATGCAACGACTTCAAGACACCAGAGAAAGATGTGCCCTGGCAATTTCGGGTCGGGCAATCGTCTTGGCTTTTGTAGGGCTGTTCATTCCACCTCATTGGATGTCTCTCTCTTTCTCCCTGGCTGAGAAACAAAGACTTGGGCAACAACCTCGTTTCAAAAAGTTTCCCGCTGCTATTCTTAGGCAATTACATTGGGTATGACAGCTAATATTATATGCCAATACATAGTAGCACCGATTAATCAATTTAATTTCTTGGTTTGTTCTGTCCTGTGAAATAACTACCCCTACAGCAATCTAACAGCTACTTGGCTTCAACATGACCACCCGACTTCAAAGTCAATACTTAAACAAAGAAACATCTAGCCTGGGATCCCTCCTCGGTTTACTACTCTTGAAGCCAGTATTCACTTTATATAACAATCAGTTTGGTTCATTATCCTCTGGGTTTCATGTAAGTACAGTACATACTTGTTAACCAGAGATAGCACCATAAAATACTATGAAGGCACCTTGAGTGTCCGGACACTTCTAGGTATGGAATGGGATGATTTTTCGGTTGATAGTACTCAATCGTTGCCCGTGGTTAGATATGATTAGTCCAGTTCCAAGTAACCCACGATAGGTGTAGATCCTATTGTAAGGTACACAGACCTTAGGCTATCCAGCGCGCTACTTAGTAGGTTCTAGGACCCGCTAGATGTTGGTCTTTTGGTAAAAAGGGCTTTGTATCTCCTGACCCCTAGATTAAGTGACTTACACCTATCCACAAGTTTTTGATATTACTTGTTTGCCCTGGGCAATTACTAGTAATGGCAACATTTGCACCTACTAGACTTTACTGGCCTACTCTACGTGACGAACCTTACCAGATGATCTGGCATAAACATAGTTAATATGGCTACATCGAATCCATTTTCGTATGGTCTTATTAGCCTCTGTTGGCGTGAAACGTTATCTGGGCTTGTACCCCCTCAGAGGGGCATTCTCTCTTCAGAAGTAGCACGAAAAGATAGAGTCCGATCTCGGTAGTTGAAAATATGAATAGCATTTAACTTCTTCACTTGAAGTAAACCACTTGAACATGCCCTAAAGGGTAGAATAGGCAGCACTGGACGATCTTGCCTTAAATGCCTTAGATCGATTAGCACTATGGAGTGGGTATAGGCCACGCAGTATAGTCAGATCCATGGACGCTATTCGGCCGCGTGATTGGCAAATCTGGAGGCTCATGCTTCAGTAGTTTGCCCCTTGGTACTGTGTACTCACACCCACATACCCTATGCGGTCTGGTATCTTGGTCTATCCCGAATGATGCACCCTCCTAGCGATGAGATCAAAACAATGCCACCAAATCCCGAGAGAATGGTTAAGATTCCACCTAGCATCGAATCAAACATAGGGTGCTGGACTCCTCCCTCCCACTCTCAAAAGGAACCGGAGCCAGCCCCATCGGGACCGTAATAGTCCAGCAAATAGTCCATCTGATCAAGAGGACCTGAGCCTCTCGTTCTGCAGTGGATATCCCCACCGTCACCGCCACGTATCTGATCTATGAATCGCATTAACCTTGAGTACGACTAGCGTGGAGTTCTTCAGGCGCGATGCATCGGTAAAATCACTGGCCGCGTCATAGGGTGGATTAGGGCTGTGGGGTAAGGCTGAGCTAGAAGCTCCGCTGACTTAGCAAGATCGCCACCCATTGCTCCATCGCGATGGGACCAAGTATCGCAACTCCAGGGGGGTTATATTGCTCGGCATCGTGCTTGTTGGCTATAAAAGGTGCTTGTTGCACCCTGCATTGGAGGGTAGATAACTCTATCAAACCTACTACTTTCCTCATTCTACCTCTCCAATCTACCACAATCACAAATACAGCCAAACCGAAATAATGGGTCTCTTCCACCACCACGAAAAGCACCACGGCGGTCCTGGCGGTCCTCAAGGAGGTCCTGGTGGTCCTGGTGGCCATGAAGGTGGACATGGCGGTCCTGGCGGTCCCGGTGGTCACCAAGGAGGCGGTCCTGGCGGCCCTGGCGGTCACCAAGGAGGTGGCCCCGGTGGTCCTGGCGGTCATCAGGGCGGTGGTCCCGGTGGCCCTGGCGGTCACCAAGGAGGAGGTCCTGGCGGCCCTGGCGGCGTAAGTCAACACCCTGGCCTTGAGTTCTCCTAAGCTAATTCCTGGTATCATTCACAGCACGGCGGCAGGTGGTAAGCGAATTGAACGACTCTGAACTTTGAAGAATATGGAAACTGCATGAATGGAATTGGGACTGAATTTTGACATATCTGGCTGTATATAATCCTAACTGGAATCTTGATCAGCCCACCATGCTCCAGCGGCTTGATGAAATAATTTATTTCTATATTATTGGAAACGAAACATAAGAATGTATGATGTAGGTCAAGGAGTGTCTTCCTGCGGTATAGTAGCTGTGCTCAAGGTATTTATCAAGTTAAGGGACGCGCAGTATCTTTCTAGCAAAAACATAATGGCGCTAGTACATCAGTGGTGTCCTGTCTATCCAATCAGTCTTGAAGAGTTATGTACGTACTGGTTATTTTACTTGGCCAGTCAGCTGCAGCTTCCCTACATGATATGATGCCTACATTGGGTACCTACTATCGGTGCATAAGGCTGACATTAACATGAGACTAACACTAGGTTGATCGGCACTGTTTATCAAGCCTGAGGCAATGACATATTGCCCCTCTCACATAGACGGTGCTTCTCAGTTTCAGTTCCCCGATCTATATAGGATAGAACCTTTGAATATGTCTCCAATCACACTATCTCAGGTATTTAAGTTAATAGAACTGGGCAGCTTTATCTTAATACTTATAACAATATCCCTAGTAAGATTCGGGAACAGCTCTATACAGAAAGGCAGAAACAGTAAGAAAAAGAGCAAAAATTCTTAAAGTACCCCTCAACCAAATCAGATTATTTAATCAATATCAATTTACTTTCAGCGCAGTCTCCTCAGCTATATGCAGTTTCTATGCCGGCCGACAGCTTACCATTATCACAATACCCAGCCTTCTATTTAAAGGATCAAAGTATTCTATAATAGATAAGGGTTTGTTTTGCAACTGATAGAAATGTTGGTAAATCTTCGACTCTAGAGAGCTACGATCCCGCGCATCTGGATCACCACCATAGGGGATTTTGGCGACCTTCAGAGGATCAGGATAGCGTGCGATGACACCTGTTATCCCAAAGGTGAAGGTGTCCTGGCAGTCAATACCTGGTGGAAGTTCCGTACAGTTATCACTGTCTATCAAAACGATGAAGACAATGAATGAAGGGTTAAATGATGGGTATACAAAGGCTGGGGAAAAGGGATGTTTGTATTTATCGGACAGATGTTAATCATCCCCCGGTGGCGAACTTCAACGCTGGAATACCTCAGCTTTCATCAACAATCACCCCCGCATGTCGAAAATACCCTCTCGAGGAATTCTCAGATAAGCTTTGGCGTACCAACTGTGGTGCCGAAACTTCCACCATCCAGCCCGATACCGGACAGGATAGCATTCACGACTCCTCCGATACCTTCACCAGCCATGGCACCAGCCGCCACGGCATATGCATATTTTTCAAACCCGTCAGGGCGCTTTTTCTTCCATATAGAGGCAACCACGGCCCCAATTAGCATAGCCGTTCCGTACTGCGTCGACGGCAGAGTGAACGCCATCGCAACAATCACCATGTTGGGGTAATAGGGCTGTATGCTGGTCCATTTACGAGTGCAGAGGTTTTTCACTAATACCATCGCGCTGGCCAATACTGCCATGAATATAGAAAACACCCAGCTACTTGGTGGTATTGGTGATTCGGGCCTTGTCACGGCGAGGACGATGGCGCGCCAGGCGGCGACACCGGGTGCTGGGAACTCGCACCGATGGCCCCCACCGTCCCCAGCAGTCTCTTCAGTTGACAGAATACAGGGGTATGCAGAAGCGAAGATCAGAAACATTGTAGGGGCCACAAGGGCAGCGACTAGTGTTCCTATCATCTGTGCAGCGTATTGGAGACGTGGTGATGTGCCTAGAAGAAAGCCCACGCGGAAATCACCCATAAGATCTAGGTGGATGTTAGGATGTATTGTTTATTCAATTTATGTTTCTTAGATGTAGGGTAAAGAGCATACCGCATGCCTGGTTCGCCCCGATATTGGTGAGAGCCCCGCCAAGTAGGTTTAAGCGCTGCGCGCTTTCGATGCTCGCGGACCCTTGTGTAGTTACTCCGAGGGCAACTTGTGTCACTTTAGAGAGAGATGAAAGCGGTACGGTGTCTATTGCAGTTGTCAGTCAATTTCTCATGAGCACGCTTATGGCAAGGGGCATTAGACCTGTCGCTCCAGAAGCGTGGATCGCGAGTAGTGAGAGAAGAAACGCCAGTGTGAGCGCAAGTAACGTCTCTGCCACAGACATTTCAAATTGCACGCTCGTAATAAAGCAAGTAACAGCTATTATCACTACGAGCCCGGGAAGCCACATCCACAATCGGATGTTGTCCTTATTGGCAAGATTCTTCTCACCACCAATGGTCGTATAAGTGTATTCCTTTTGTCGTCGTGTCTTAAGGGCTTGCCACAAACCGCGGGTCGCTATCCATATAACCCGCCATTGGCAGAATAGTTCTACAGAATCAGTAAGCGTAGCTCATGGCGGTAGCACTAACAATGAAGATGCAGAGGTTCTACCTGTGAACGCCGCCGCTATCATACACACAACTCCTGGCCACAGAAGCCAGTACTGAGGACTAGGATGTTGGGCATCTGCAAACTCAGCTGACAAGGAGAAGTATGAGACGAGCCCGTCAGGTGAGGTCGCCTCCTTTCCGAACGCTAATCCATGAGACACCAGATAGGGCCCTATGACTCCCCTAGACGAGCGTACATAAGCATAGACCCTCTAGTAGTATGAGTTGGCATGATAGCTATAGTTCATTCTTACCAAGCGAGGATCGATCCGAGAACGAAGGAGGCAGCAACATTCACACCAACCAGCATTCCAGACCCGATAAAGGCCGGGGTCCATTCAATATACCAGCCCCAGCTTTCTATAGCCATGGCTGTGTCTGCCATGAAGCCAGTTGACGCGATCCAAGTGAAAATATGCCAGTCCTTCGTGGCACGGAGAGGTCAGTATCTGGCTTCAATAATGACCCACAATGGGGACATTCTTTCAGACTGGCAAAACATACCCATAGGATACCAATGGCATATTGAGATACTACGCGCAGCAGCATAGCGAAGAGGAAGCTGTACGCCAGAGTTCGCATTTTCTGCCGAGCTTCGTATGCACCGCTGGCTGCAAGATGCATGCCTCGGATGGTAATGGCTGTTGCCGACGACGAAGGAAAGATAAGCTGGAGTTCTCTTGCCACTTGGAAAATGAACAATTTGCGCACTGCAGCATCAACTTCATGTCAATAAATTGTCGCTTTTCTCGGATAGTATAAGGGTGGACAGATTATCGCGTACAGGGAGCCGCAGAGAGGAGGCCAAAGTATCCTCCAGCTGCGGTGATAGCTACTAAGCGTGCAAAGTCCTTACTGGGCGTGGTGAGTAATCCCAGTTGGTACAATGCGGGTATAGCGGAGACAAAGACATTGGATAATCCCCCAGCAGCGGTAGCCGCAGTTTGGACGATGTTATTTTCCTGAGGCCCAAAATGTTGGCTGTGGTATCCCAGAGAAGACAGATGCGACGTTAATGGCTGCAGCAGTGCAAAGCCAATGATGGACTGGGAAAGGAAGAGTTAACAGACTGGACCAAAATGGCGATCACAGTGAGACCAAGCACACTGTTAGGGTTGTATCCTACCCCGAAAATATTGGCCGAGTCAGTCCAACCAGCCTTGAGCCCAAGGTACAAATTGGAGGCGTTCACAAGCGTTCCACACAAGCAGCCCACAATTAAGGCACGAAAGGTGAGGATGCTCCCCGTTGCCGGCTCGACATCACCAAACGGTTCAAAAGGGTCTGTTGGTAGTCCATCGTTCTCTTCCTCGTCTTCATCGGTGGCTATCGAGCTTGCCCTTTGGATTGTCCCATTCTCCCCAGTCCGATGAACTTCTCGCATATCCGTCATTTCAATTGGCTGACTTCCCGTCGGGCGCGCATAGTCCGACATGACGGCGCACTCGAGTCTATCGCCAAGACAGACCTAAAGAACAGATACTAGCAAGGAAGAGGACGTTTGCTGAGAAGGTACAGCGGCAACAATTATCAAGAAACTAACTGCGGAACATTGAGAGCATGACATTCTAGACCCATGAAACATATGATTTGCTTGTAGTTATCCTGTCAACCAGAAAAGAAAGACAAGATGACAATGGGGGTAATCGGTGCATGCATTACGTGGCCGATTAACTCAGCTCTTTATCACCAGCCCGCCGCTTTTATGTGGCTTTGCCGCTCCAGGAGCGATCGGCGCACGTCCGTTACACTCCGTGGCACGCACCAGGTTTATACAGCCCGAGATCTATGGATAAGCGAAGAGACTCGGAGACCTGGGTGATACAAGATCAACAAGCTGGATGGACAGCAAAACTTCTCCAAGTAAGAAAGAGATCTAAAGGTTACCTATCAGTATCTCGATATTTGGGGACATTAGTTAAGGAAACAAAATAATGCTCGCCAAACGAGTTATCGAAACATATTACTGGAATACTTTTGAGAGAGTCTGATCAGATACTACATGAACTACTGAAGGAATACTTGATGAAGAAAGGAAAACTGTAACCAAAATATATAATCATAAGATCGCAAAAGACGACTCAGACTTCTACAATGGCATGATAAAGGCACTTTCCCCTAGATAGCTGGAAAACCAACTTCTTCCTCTTCATCTGAGAAATACTCTATGATCCCTATACTGTTAAAGTGTGGTATAATAAAGCAACCCGAGGTCATAACCTATTGCTCAGACAAGGAAGAAGAAGAAGGAGTTGTTTTTTTCTAGCCATCTCGGGGAATGTGTCTCTATAAATATTGCAGAACTCTTTGTTCGCAACTTCTACCAGCTTTCTTATTCAGTCTTTGAATGGAGAGTTCATTTCCATATCCACTGTCTCAAAATATTTAAGAATAATCTCCCTTTGAGCATATGGATAAAAGTAGTCCGCCCTTGAATAGACAGATGCAATATCAACCACAAAGGTAGACCTTTTAACTTCGGTCCAAGAAGCTCTTCTAACATTTACAAGTAGTTCGTAATAATCAGTTTATACAATAAATTCGCATACATTTCTCGCTTTAACATGAATAAGAAAACCAAATGAATGCTCTAGTTTACTAAGACCAAGTACCAACTAACATGCTGACGCTCATGCAATCTCCTATAAAACATGCATAATGAATGGCTGAATAAAGATAAACTTGCCCCTCCGCAATTCAAGTATTCATCTGTGATCCTACCTCAGACAAAAGACAGTCAACTCAAGTAAACGAGCTTATAAGATGATATCGCCATCATAGTGGCACTTCTTCAATGTCACCGTGCCGGTCTCCGTGTTGCATAGCCACTTGGTACCCGGGGCATGGCCACTCCCATTGTCATTCAGGGTGAACGAAACGGTCTCAGTGCTATTGACCCGCTGTAGCTGCAAGATGAAGACGGAGATATCATTCACGCCGCCCGGGAATTGGACGTAGTAGGCGCCGTCACTCGTACGAGCGCCTGCAATAGGGTTTCCGGGGCGATCCCTGGACATAGTTGTTACTTTGGTTGCTGGTCAAGAAAAGGAGAAAGGATACCTACCAGATCACATTGGCGCCGGTCACATCGTTGTAGTTAGGATCGTTGAGTTTGAAAGTAACAAATCCCTTTTGATCAGTCTGAGAAGCGAAAAGGTCACTGATGGTAATGCTTTTCTCGGCACGCTCGGCAGGCATAGCCAGAGCAGCACCAGCAGCCAAGAAGGAGCAGATAGCGGCGGTCTTCATTTCGTTGGATGGCTTAATCTGTCAACTGGGGATAGAATAGAGTATGTGGGTTGAAGAGTGATTAATCGATGGAAGGTTGTGGTTGTGAATCGGGCTGTAGTGTTGATGATACTGTCTGTTTTATGCGAGCATTGACTGTCTTTATATCTCAAAGGCTTCGTATTACGATTCTCAAGAGAATGACTGAAGACAGGCTGTTGGATGGAAATGAGCAACTGTTACGCTCAGGTTACTTGCTGTCTCGGTGTAGAGTATGCTAACTCCGAGCTTGAGAGGCTGTGCTGGATGTCATAGGAGCAGCATCACGAGAGTTTCTCAGGCCCCCAAGAATCGTGATTTATAATATAGGACTAAGTCTACGAGTTTGCCCAACGAATCTAGTGCTGACAGCTCAGCTGCTAGTCCCACTGCATCTTCACTATGCGGCTGTCACGTCACAGCAGCAATGTTGTGTTGCAACCCTAGTGCTGACGGAGTAAAGTCCGAGGCGAAGCTTTGTGGATTCGTCGCCTAGGCGTCCCATCATTCCTTTTCGACTGAAGTCAAGACAGAAACAAGCATTCCAAATATAGTAGAGCCGCAATCTCCGATCCATTAGCTGTCAGCGATCGAACTTTGTGGGGCGGTGGTGTATGTGGACTGAGGACAGAATATTATTTTTAGGATCAAGGTGACGGCAACTAGATACTTGATTCAGAGCTTCGAGACCCACGACTTGGAGCCCTGTGGATGCTGCGGGTGACCTAAATATAGGCATTACAACTAGAATTACCAACTTTTGCCTCTAGTTACTCGCCAGTCTGGACAAACCAGAGAAGGGCACTGCGAGGGGCGATATTAAACGGTTCCAAGTCAGTGAGGAACGTTTGAGGACGGCCAAAATGTCAACTCTATTGCACTCGATATTGATCTGCCGTATCTGCAGATCGGTCGTGTCATTCACGTAGCTTCTTGATGAGCTTGATGAGACAAGGCACCAAGCCGATATCGTAAGAAGGTTGGAATAATTTGGAGAATAGTGTCAGACCAGAAGTAAAGTTCTTTGGAACCAAGCGCCCTCTCTCTTGGTCTGGATTGAGCGCATGGTAGGGTCAAGACTGTGGGTAACACTTCTCCACATAGTGTCTTCTGAATACTCGTGGTTTGCACTGGCTCTGTATGTAACAGCTATCCCACAGGCGTTCTATGCGCTCAGTCCACGCACTTTCCACCCTTGCCCACGCTCCCGGATCGACTAGCGAATACAAAGCGGCGCTCAAGTCAGACCAACAGGGAAACAATAAAAGACCACAGCTCTTTGATAACCCCTTTGGGATATCGCAGAGACCTTATCAGACCCGTCATATTTACTTCCCGCAATCTGATCGGTGTCTATCCTGGGGCCGCTGTGAATGCGACCGATATCGCAGGGGACAAAAGAAACAGCTCCAAAGGCATCTATAATTTCCTAGGTGAAAAGAAGAGCCCTAAAGAGCGGAGAAGAGAAAACCAAAGGCCTGAAAACAAGCAATAGGCGATCCGACTTTCGCGAGTGGATCTCTCCGCAGGGTCCGTTCAGCTCGTCTCGCAATCGTGCTTTAGCGCGGGAGCTATTGATGCAGGCTGACGAACCGAGCCAAGCAAACAGGAGGAGAGGCATTTCTGCTTACCGGTCCTCCTTTCTTACCCCGCACGAAGCTCCCTTGCGTCACAGTGGATGGACAGAAACTCTTGAGCTGGACGGGTTCTTTCCTTTTGCGAGATGGTGGAACGGTGGAGAGCATGATTGATGTTCGATATCACTATGGCCCGAAGCTCAATCAGTAGAGTTCTGCCCGTGTGGATCACCGCTATTATTTACTTATGCGGTATCATCCTCGCCGAACCGGTTCAATACTGCCAATTTGGATACAAGGGGAAGGAAGAACATGGTGACGTGGACTTTTGCATGGCCGTCGCCATGCACGAGAATCGATCTTCGAATGCCTACGACATGTACTTGTCCATGACTGTCACGCGGGGATCGGATCGTGGTTGGACTGCGATCGGGACAGGCTCCGTGATGGCCGGCTCGTTGATGACCGTCGTCTATGGCGAACCTCTTACCGGAGAGTCTCCGGTTGTCAGCATACGGACCGCAGCTGCACATCACCAGCCTAAACGAATAACCCAAGAGCAAGCGGGCGGTGCAGATGTCCGGGTTCTTGGGGCAGAATGGCGGGCGATTGATGAAGATCGCACATTTACCACGCTGGCATCCTCTGCATACGCGTATGTCGCCGAAGTGAGTCTCGTTTGCTATTCCTGTAATCTGTGGCCGGCAAAAGGGAGAGGGAGCAGTAAGATTTCAGCAACAGCAACGTCCTTCCCTTGGATTTGGGCATGGAATGAGGATCAGGAGATCTCGGCGCTCTCCGACGATGCCCATCTCAACGGACACAGACACCGCCGCGGAAATGGTGGATGGGGCGAATTCTACGTCAACATGGCCCAATCCCTTAGCACCGATGAGAACCCTCCACCTGTCCCACTGATATGGCCTGGGACTCGCACTCTAGGAACTTCTGATGCGCCCATAGACACGAGTGAAAAATTCTCCCTGTTTAGCAATGAGACTCTCCATGGCTTCCTGATGGGAATGGCATTTCTAGTTATCTTCCCATTAGGAGTGCTAGCCATGCGCTCGCAATCCAGCAAGTCATTCAAATACCACTGGATCATTCAGCTCATCGCCTCCCTCTGCACTGGTGCAGGCGCCATTATCGGTATTATTATGAGCCGAGGGTCATTCAACTCCCCTCACCAGGTAGCCGGACTGCTGGTATCCGGTGTACTTGGCCTCCAAGCGTTTCTCGGGTGGAGACACCATGTAATTTTCCTACGAGTTAGACACCGAACCTGGATCTCGCATGCCCACATCTGGGCCGGAAGATTGATTATGATTGTGGGCTGGGCGAACTTTCTCAGTGGGATGGTTTTTGTAGCAACTGGCCCGTTCTGGGTCATCCTGGTGTCTGCGATTATTGTGGGAGAGATTATTGGTCTCACCTTCTGGGTTTGGGCCTGTAATAGGCGCAAGTCGCGCAAGGCCCCGGAGCCTGATGTTCAATGGCAAGGGGAGCAAGACGGGGAATACTTCGCGGTAGGCGAAGATGAGGAGACAGAGATGAACGAAATGGGCGATCATGACAAACATGAGAGTAGTCCGTATGACCCTATGCTTCCCCGACATTCGCATTAAATCGGGAGCTGTGGTAGGTTTGTCTAGTTGTCTGGTTGGACGACATGCTCTGAAATCCAACATAGCTATATGAGAGACTCAAGAATGATACTCCGCCTCCTCTTTCACTAAACATGACACAAGTTGAAATCTAGCAATTCCCTATCTAAACCAAAGATCCTTCATCTTTCCAGTTTCTCCATCTCTCCTCCCATAGAATAAGCGGGCCGGGACTCAAAAGCCCAGGGTTATGATAGCCATGGCCACAGGTTAAGTCAAATGCCGCCCACAACTTTCAAGACCATATAAGCAAAATGTCCCTCCCATTGGGTTCAACCTGATCTCAAAACATGAAATATCCTCCAAGGTCACCTCCCCCAAGAAACGCAATACAAAGTACCACTTACAAACCACCCTCCGCGCTACAGTCCTCCCTTCAACTCAAACTGCTGATCAACAACATCGCCAACCATGTCCTCCATGCCCTTGAACTCAACCCCCAACTCCCTCTCCGCCCTTCCGGCATCAACCCTATACCTAGTACCTTCAGTACCTTCAGTATCCTTCAACCCAAACCCAACCCCAGGATACCTGCCCTCCAAAAACCGCCTCACATCCCCCCAAGACCTTGTCTCGGACGCCAGCAAGTACGACCTCAATCCGCTAACACCGCCATCCAAAACCCGCACATGCGCATCCGCAACATCATCGATATGCACGCCAACGAGCTGCTGGAAGCTGGGCGTCTCGGCGAAAAGAGACTGGAAAAGCGCGCCGCAGGACCCGCCGAGCTGTTCGGGGGTTTCTTGGACCAGGCTGCGGCCGTAGACGAAGACGGGGTGGAGGGTGACTATGTCGAATTGGGGGTGGTTGGCGGCGTGGAAGTCGAGGGTGGCTTTGTGGGCAGCGAGCTTGCTGGCGTGGTATTGGGCCATTGGGGGCAGGGTAGGGATTGTAGAATCCGGGGGTAGAGTGTAGTTTATCTCGTTGTCCTCTGGTTTCCCCCCCCCCCCCCCTTCTCTTAGTGTCTATTGCGTTGTAGGGTAAGGGGAAAAGCTTACCTCTGACGACCAATCCGTCCTTGAGATCTCCCAGTGAGATTAGCGATAGCACCGATCCTGTGACCACCACCTTCTTGATACTGGGCACCTTTGCCGCTGATTCTAAGATAGTCATGGTTCCTCGCTTGGCGGGGGTAACCAGATCATCGCTGCCTGGGTTGGGCAATGGAGACGCCAGATGCAGAACATACTCCACACCCTGCAATGCCTCGTCGAAGCACCCGGGGACGGTGATATCCGGTACAATCACAAATTCCAATTGCTTCTCGTACTCAGCGAAGATGCGACGGAGCTTGTCAGCCTGTTCCTCGCGACGGATAGTGAGACGGACACGGTGGCCCGCTTGCAAAGTACGCAGGGCAACCTGGGAGCCGATGAAGCCTGTCGCGCCGGTGATGAGTGTTGGGGCCATGGTGGTTTGTAAACTTGATCTGTGTCTAACAGGATACTTGTTGGAAAGCATGGAATGGTCTGTACTATTTATATTCATTATTTTCTTCATTATTTCTATACTGTTCTTTGCGCTGACAAACAGTTGTCCATCGTGATCATTAATCAGGGTTGTTGTGGCGGGGTTCTCAACCCAGCAACCATCATCAGGCCAGCTGAAAACTTGGTTGGACTCCCTCAATTAAAATACCCTAAAAATATCGACTGGCCAGTGGTAGCCTATCATCTTTCTTTTCAGATATGAATGTATGTGCAGCCTGTTCTATGCGCTGACAAAACTATGATTTCCCTCTGATCATTAATCAGTCAACAGCCGAACTCTAATCGGTAAATGTTTTTTAGTTTAGTGATATAGAGCTATGACGTTATGCCCAATTTAGATGTTTAACCCAATCTATGGAAACTGGGGTATCTAAGTCTCCACATAAGCTTGATCTTTTAGAATCGTCTCGGGTGATTGGGACTGGTCCGCTGCGTAGCCCTAACGGTTGTATCGGGATAAGAATGTCGCATATGAAATGAGGATTAGTGATCAAGAACCACAACCTCGGACGGTCTCCGCATTCAGGATTCTATCAGGATGGACAGGAGAAGGCAGTTCACTGTGGTTGAGGATATTATAAATATGGTCATGGTGACAATGTCTTGACTGCCATGGTATCATCTTCTCAACTCTACTACTACATACTATATCCACCAGCAGAGCCATCAACGAAAATGTCCTCCCTCCGTGCAGCAGTATACATCGCCCCACCGACCCCCTTCAAAACGCCTGGCAAAGGAAGCGGCGGTGGGCTCTGGTCCCCCATCTCCTGCACGCTGGTGTACTCAGCCACCGAGGCCGTCCTGGTAGACACGCCCATCACCATCAAACAGACACAGGACTTGATAGCCTGGATCGACCGCATCGCGCCGAAGCGGAAGCTGTCGTACATCTACATCACACACGGCCACGGCGATCACTTCTTCGGTCTCCCGCTGCTGCTTCAGCGCTTTCCAGAGGCCCAGCCAGTGGCCACGGCCGCCACCGTGCAGCATATGAAGCAGCAGGTCGAAGAGAAGAACTATCACACTCAATGGGAATCGCGATTCCCTGGAGAGATCGCGAGACCGTTCGTCTTGGCGCAACCGCTGCCGGGAAGCAACGAGTTTAAGCTGCAAGACAGATGGGTGTTCCAGGCTATCGAGGTTGGACACTCGGACACTTACGATTCCACCGCGCTGTGGGTCCCCGACCTGCTGCTGGCTGTATGTGGAGATATAGTGTATGGACAGGTGCACCAGATGCTATTTGAGGCTAATACCACCGCCAAGCGCGAGGAGTGGATAAGAGCAGTGGAGAAGATCGAAGCTCTGGATCCGTTGTATGTGGTACCTGGCCATTGCCAGGAGGGGGAGGTTTTGGGCCGCTGGCACCTCGCCAACACGAAGCAGTACATCAGAGACTTTGCGAATGTGCTAGAGAAGAAGCCCAAGTCTCCAAGAGAGATTGTGGAAGCGATGACCAAGCTGTATCCCGATCGGTACAATACCGGTGCACTTATAATGGGGGCCATGGGCTATTTCCAGGCATTGAAGGAATCTCGGATTTAAAATTAATATATGTACATTGAGTCATGAAGTTAAGTGACCTCAATCGGAGCTTGTTCGGCTGAATCTGTAGCTGCTCACTGTAGACTGAAGACAGCTTCTACGGGACTGTTCCGGCAGTATGCAAAATAGCAGACAGTGTGTTCTGTCGAGGGTTCAGTGGCAGTCCATCAGCTGCAGGGAAACCGTGCCGGTGAGGCCATATAGCCACCAAAGCCTCCGATGCTTTGACAGCCCCATCCTGGGCCAGCCAGGACAATGTTTGTGCTCGTACATGTATCGGTGACCTGCCATATCTGTGACAGAAAGAAAGGTGGGTATCTGATCCTCGACATGGATTCCTGAAGGATTTAGTGATGCAAGGCTCTGCGCTGTCCACTCAATGCCATAGCTGCTGACCCACTCGCAGGAGCAACGAAGATCATGTTGACCATACACATGTGGACGGGCAGGGCGATATGTTTACAGCAGACCACATTTGAGAGCTCGGGTATCAAATCGACGATCGTAAAGCATAAACTGCCGATGGGAGGCTTTGATACTAATGTCTTCTATGAGCCTTCATGTCCATACCGAGACGTGCAGAGCACTGTCCACATCGGAGCGTCGGAATCCCGGTGTGCGCCCCAAACATATGCCTCTACTAATCAAAGCTGTGATCAAAGTTAGAGACTCAACTCTATCAACAAAGGAACCGGAGGGCCTTACTTTGTGTGAACCGGGTAACGTTAATGGATGTCCGAGCCGACTTTCGGTCCGTTTCTGAAGGGGCAGAGGAGAATAGGCGCACTCCTTTCTCTCGGAGATAACCCGCCAGGTCTTGCATATCAAACCAATCTCCCTCCATTTCCTGTCGGATTTCAGGCGAAAATCGCGCGAGAGGATCGTGGATCGTAGCCCATTGCTGGTAGCGACATAAAGGTTTTTCACCTTCTTGAGCTTTGCCAGTGGATCGTTCATAGTGGGTGCCAGCACCCCCAAGCTTGAAGAACGGGACCCCTGCATAGCATTCCTCCAATCGTTTCTGGCTCAATTTAGCGTGCAACAATGCTTCAAAGGCTGCAGTCAGATGGGGTCTGTCCATGAGGGTAAAAAGGAACCGAAACGGACGTTCTATGCGAGACATAGGAACGGACGGGTTCGAGAGCACCAAGTACCCTTGATATACACAAGCCAGGTGTAATTGTTCGATGAAGAGAGGAATATCCATAGCAGAAGGCTCTAAGGGCTCAGACAAGGAAGGGGAAATCGGCTTTGACGGACCACTCTCCGGAGGAGTGGTCTGTTCGGCGTGAGAACGCGGGCTCGTATTGTGATCGGTTGACGTGCCGTCCGGTCCCGCTGAAGCTGACGACGTGCTGTCCTCACCGTGCGATGAGGTGTCCGGACTCTCGGGTTCGCCATCCTTGCTGGCCTCCTTTGCCAATGCCAAACACGTTTGCACTGTATCACGCAAGTGGCTCGCGATGTCGGGGTGCGAGGAGAGAGCCCCCGACTGCACCAGATTATCGCTGAAGGAGACGACTGCGGAGCTCATTTTCTCTAGTGTCGCCTCCAGTTGAGAGATACGACCCTTGAGGGATGTGATGTTGGCTTCCTTGCGAGAACGGTAAGCTCGTTGTGCCAGGCGGATCTGCATTCGACGTCGCTATTTGACCCTTTTCGTCAGCCAATACTTCACACGAGGTGACATCACCATCGTCGACGCACTTCTTCTGGGTCCTCGCCCATTCGAATATCCATCGTTTTACGCGGGCGACCACGCTTCTTAGCAGTTGGTGCATCAGATGACTCATTCAGTTGACGTTTTGTTGTCTTCTGGGCGTTCTGAGTCGCTCGTTGCGCGTCGATAGGTGGCGTCCGTCGATCCAAGCTCATCATGCGCTCTCCATCCGCGGAGGACCCTGAGAGCAGAAAGCCATTAGGTACAGGTAATGAGGCGCCGTAGCCCTCTGGTGGAAACTGTCCGTGCTGATAGAATGGTTCGGGGATGGGATATGAGGAGGCGGAGAGAAGGGAGGTAAGCTGGGAGGTTGCGAGCGAGCTCTCCAGCAGCGACGGTCGGAAGCGTGGAGATAACAAAACTTTCTGATAAATCTCATCCCACGGCAGGAGAGGGGCGTCGGGGTCCCCAAAGCCCTCATATGTCTGGAGCTGCATTCCTCCATCCATGATGCTGTGACAAAAGGTGAAGAGTGAAGATCGATCGGATCAGTCGAGAAGCAGAAAAACGGTACGATCGATACTAGGAGAGATTTAATCATCAGGCCAGTCGGAGGAACTACTTTTAGAATGGCCGTTAGCGTGAGTGTCCGGCGTATCGGGAGCCATTGCCACGCTGCAGTGATTGGGCAAGATCCAAATAGAGCCAATCCTGGTGCGATTTTAGGTTGCGAAATCCCTCAACTTTAAACATTCGTACTGTTCATGAAACCCCGTCTTCCCGAACCTGATTCGCGAGCGGGACGTTCGGCTCGGAGTGTTCACTAATCACGAAATCCTCTCATTTTCGATTATTCAACCATTCCGACTGCCAAGCATCGTCTTGCCCCCTTTCTAGAAGATTTCCCCTTTGGTGTCAATAGGGTAAACGGGGTCCCTAGTCCAGTTCGAGCTAGGCTATGGAGATCGTTTGAACATTTCTATCGCGCTCAAAATCAAATGCCATGGCGTGGAAAACTTTTCTAATATATAACAGAACCTACTCCGAAAGACTATTACATTACGTCAAAACATGGGGCGAGTCTAATAAGCTACGCTTGGGCGTATTCCTTCAGATACGCAACAAGCTTCTCGGCTCCCGAAACGGGAACGGCGTTGTAGTTGGACGCCCGAATACCTATCCGCGTCAGTACCATGTCGTTATGGGGTAGAGCATCAGGGCATGCTTACCTCCGACACTGCGGTGGCCCTTCAGCCCGGTGATCCCGCGCTCAACGGCTCCCTTCAAAAAGGCCTTCTCGGCCTCATCGACATTGCCGCCCTGGGACTCTATGTCAATGACCATCTCAACCAACCACAATAGCATAATAGAAAGCATACCTTGATCACACGGAAGCAAACGTTCATTCGGGAGCGCACACTCTTGTCCGGCACAACCTTATAAACTTCGGGATACGCGTCCACCGCCTCATAAATCATATCGGCCTTCTTCTGGGCCTCCGCTTGCTGTCCGTCCACCTTTTCGGGGAAAGTAGCCAGCAGCTTCTTAAGAACTTGGCCTGCCAAGTAAACACTAGACAGCGTTAGACGTATCCAGAACTGACGGAGGAGCAACCTACTCGAAGATCGGGAGCGTGTTGTAGAGACTGTTGTTCTTGGCAGTGACGCAGTAGTCAAGGATCGTGGGGGCAATGGGCAGCCCAAGCTTGCGAAGGATCGTTGGGGGGCACGAGACGAGCAGGTCCTTTCGGACGATGATGCCAGTAACTCCGGCACAGCCCAGATTTTTTTGGCTAGTCGGTTCAGCTTCTGTTCAGGGTTTAAGGGATCAGGGAAGTCTTACGCTCCGAAGAACACAATAGAGTAATTCTGACTCGCGGTTAGCAATTGATCACTGACCAGTATAAAACCGGGGATTCCATACCTTAATGGGGATACGCCTGGAGAGGATGTTGGAAGAGAAATCTCCCACCACGAACGGGCCCTCTTCCGAGCCGGTCGGCTCAAGGACCTTGGGGAAGTTGGGGTATTCGACACCGTCCACCGTTTCGTTGTCGCACATATAGACCATGGTAGGCTTGGGGCTCAGCTTCCATGTCGATTCATCGGCAATCTTGCCGAACTTTCCATCGTTGACCTTTCGGGAGTCACTGGCAATGTTGACGTACTCGGGTCCAAGCAGGCGGATGGCCTCCTGGCTAGCCTTGGACGACCATCTGCACCTTCCATTAGTATCTCAGAACGAACTCAATGGATGCGATCGGAGACTGACGATCCCGTAACTAAGTAGTCCAATCGCAGCTCCGCCTCGACTTTCTTGCGGAGCTCCTTGACCACATCATCTTCGCTGGCTTCGCCGAGTTCCTTCACAATCTTCTGGCGCTGCTTTTCAACCCAAGCCGAAACGATATTGTACACCGTCGCATCGAATTGGCCCGATCCTCCACCCTGCATCATCAAAATCTCGTAGTTCGAGGGGACATCGAGGAAGCTCGTAAGGTTGGCCTTCATGGTGTTCAAGATGTTGGCTGCAATTTCGCTGCGGTGGCTGTGTTCGGCGATACCCCTAGGAAAGTCAGAATACCTTCTATAGCTTCAATTCCAGCAATGCAGGTCCGGAGCTTACAGGCCGGTCTGCTCGTAGTTCTGCAGAGCTTCGGCGGCTTGGGCCAAGACGTCGGTGGGCAGGGCCGCAGGGCCGGCACCCATGTAGGTAATATCCTCTCTCTTCATATTGCAATTGGCGTTTGGCTGGACGAGATCTGGGTACTTTTTCTCAACAACGGATTTAAAGAACCCCTCCACTCGTTCGGAGGAAAATCGGCGGGTGAGTCATCTTATCAGTCAGGTGACTGCCCCGCGGTTGATCTAATCAGCACTTTTATCAGCCGGCAAAAGGTTCCCCCGCACCCCCCATCTATAGTTCCCTTCGAACACAGTGCAGCGTGTGAAAACACAAGATAAAGATGGTCATTGTCGCGGTAGCCGGCGGTACCGGCGGTGTTGGTCGGACCATTGTCGAGGCACTGGTCCAGCAAGCAAAACATCAAGTCATATTGCTGACTCGTGGGGTATGGATGCAAAACGGTAGCTCCGGAATTATATTCAAGAGCTAACCAATCTCCCAGGTACCCAAATCAGACCCTTTGCTTGACCAGATTCAACAGGTGCAAGTAGGTTACAATGACTCCACAGCGCTGGCACGCACCTTAGACCAGCATGGAGTGCACACGGTTATTTCTGCAATCGGGATTGTCTCCGATGAAACGTCTCAATCCCAGCTCACGTTGATCAACGCTGCAGCTCAATCCTCAGCCACCAAACGGTTCATTCCCAGTGAATATTCGTTTATTCAAACTGAAGAGTATACTCCCCAAGAGTACCTTCCTTTTTTGCGCCTAGCTAACAACCACAGTCTCCTCTCGATCGACCCAAGTATCAAGTACTGGTTGGCTGCCGCTGAATTACTCAAAACTACCACTCTTAAATTTACCAGAGTTATCCCCGGGTTCTTCATGGATTACTGGGGGATGCCCGTTGTTCATACTAATCTTCAACCCTTCACATTTGGCATAGACATCGCCAGCTGCCAGGCAGCTATTCCGGGTGATGGTAACGACGTTATATGCATGACGTATACGTACGACATGGCTGTGTTTATTGTACGGTTGCTGGATGCCGAGGATTGGCCCGAGTTTAGTGTTATTGTTGGCTCTCAGACTACATATAATCAGCTCCTCCAGCTAGCTGAAGAGCTACGAGGTATCTCCGGAAGATTTCCCCGATAGCCTATCACACTAACTTCATTTAGGCAAGAAGTTCCAGGTTGTCTACGACAGCGCAGATCGAATCAAGGAAGGAGATGTCACTATCCCTCCAATGCCTGCCGACACAGGGTATTCTGCTGAGGAGCTTAAGGAGACTACTGCATTAGTGAGTCGGTTAACTATCGCCGGGGTGTTTGATTTGCCCCGTGAAAATCGGTTAAATGCGAGGTTTCCTGATATCGAAACCACTAAGCTCGAATATTTCCTATCAAAAGCATGGGGAAGCTATCAATAACTGTTTGCATGTAAATTCCTGGCTGGAATATTTGTCAGTTCTCAACAGAAATACTTAGTGCACTCGCCGGCATTCTTATGATAAGCTTTAATGCAGAAAACATAAACTGTCCCAAGGAAATTCAAGTTGAATGAAATGATCAAGCTTTGCTTCGTACACATCATCAATCCTACCCTCTCCTGTTTCAAAAATGTGGCCTCCTCGCCTTGAATGTAAGACACTCTTTCTCAACCCTCTTTCAGAATCAATCCTCATCATCATGATTGAAGTAATCATTATAATCCCCAACATCTGCAGTGTCCACCGTCAGCCATGTAAGCCATCATCCGGACGCCACCAACAGCGGGAGAAACCCTACATCCTCCATTATGCAGTCCAGAACCACTATAATGATGTTCTGTATTAGATCGTGGCCGCGGCTCTTCGTCAAACTCCCAGATTCCCGACGTATAGCTCCGGAAAGCAGCTTCTTTCTCGCTCTGGTGACCTTCTTTCCACCCCCGATGGTGGGACATCCACATGGACATCGGGCTATCCGATCTGTAGAAATATTCTTCTAATTGGGGCATTATCCTTAATTGCTTGGCGAAAAAGAGCAACTAATATCTTTTGCTTTGAGGAAAAGTTTTAGATATGAACAGGTTCCGAGTTTAATATATAGCTTTTGTATTTACGCAGCGGGGAATTAAGTATCTCCAAGTCTTGATAATGTAGTTATTCAAGCCACGGATATCTGTACATACAAGATACTTCAATCATCGGCAAAGCAAGTCAATCGGTTACCCTTCCATGGAAAAGGCAAACTACATCTACCGATCAACTATTACCCAATACAGCAACACTCAGCCAACCGAATACTGGCATACCATTTCACATACTATTTCATAACTACAATATAGTCATCAAAACGCCGAGATGTCTAACAGCCCAGCACCGCATGTCAGCACATCATTTAAGATACACGAATCAAACTAGAACAATCAGCCCAAACTCAGCACCTCACTAAACGTCGTTCAAATCCCCGAGATAATCAAGATGCTCGTCGTTGATGTCGTCTAGAATGCCTATTAGCTACTTTATGGATGTAGTGGTCTGTAGGGATAGATAGAAAAGTCGTACCTCTGTCTTCCATATCTTGCTCCGGGGGAAGGTAGATGTTGGGGTCATTGTCTAGGTGCAATGATGTGGACACATTTTCGAATGGTTTGTCGTCAATGCAGTCTTCTTCTTCGTTGGTTGGGGTTTTGGGCATGGACATTGTGGTTTTATTTCCAGGGTATGAGGGTTAGACGAAATAGTGTGAGGATTGGTTGGGGAAATTCAATGTTAGACGTGTGATCTCAGCATTATCTTATATGGAATCTGAGTCTCACTATGAATGATGATGGATTAAGAAAGTCCCTGCCAGGATAGAAGTACCCAGGCTCTCTAACGTAAAAGGAAGCTTATGATTCGTAAATACTCAGTAGTGAGATAGGTAAAGTGGCGTAATTCCAAGGTAGCACCGACCTTAAGCAAGATTGGTTATGGTTTCGGAATACTACTCAGTGAAGCTTACCATGGAAAGGATACACGCTTACGCAAGCTCTAGCAACATCTACCTCAACCCTGCGGGCTGCATGAGGAACCCTTATACCCAGCAAGGAACGATCAAGTGAAAGCGTGTATGGCCTTAGGTTTTGATGTTCTAGACCACATGAAGCGGTCTATCTACTAAAGAAACTAAGGCCCTGTGGCTGAGCTAATTGACTAGGTATCTGCATCGGTGTTTTTCACCTTCCCAGAGGGACCCATATACGTGCTTGGCAAAGTATACGACATCTCAAATGGACTTACTAGCCTTTGTTGGGCAGGTATAACAGTCCGGCGTCTTACTTGTCACCTGCGTGATTCTAGTGCTCTACTCCTGAACTCTAAGCTAGCGCTTGGACAATTGTATCACTGGGGTCGCTATCAACAAGACACGCGGAGTAATGATCAGTAATCCAGGCATACAAGATTCTGCATTTCAGACTCTGCTCATTTAGAAACAAACTCCACAGACATCTTCGGATGAGATACGCATAGTTTTATTTGGAAGGCTTCTGCAGATTCTTTATTCATACAACCAGTTTATGTGGGAGCAGAGAAACCGGTACTAATAGTCGACGGAAGTGGGAATATTTATACTGGATGGTTCTATTTGGCTGACAACAGATGGCCAGCTTTCCTGTGACAAATAAACATACCACAGCAATAAGCATTCACCATAATCACCGTATGCATCCTAACATTTTAATGTTGTTCACCTCAGGACTGTCATTCCAAGTTACGGTAGCCGCCCCATGATTCCGGGAACTCTGATGCAAGGTCAGGTTTGCTCTCCTGGCCGAAACAAGTAAGCCACAAGTAATTATGTCAAACATCTGCTTGCAACCAGGCTTCCTAGGTTTTCTCCACAATTGACTCGCTGAAATACTTCAGTACTCTCAACCTCACACAACCTTATCTGGATTCTCATCCACCTCGTTGATCAACTGCTCCGGAGACCTAAACTCCAACCCAGCAAAGAACTTCCGCCGATGTGCCTCAACCTTCTCAGGATCAAGAGATACAGCACCCAAAGGCACAAAAATCTGATAATGCGCAAGCAACACCTCCTCTGGATCAGTCGAATTTTGAATCGTCCGCAGAAGCTCACCCAAGCCAACACGCTTGACCTCACGCATCGCCGGATACCGCTTCTGAACCAACTGTGCCAGGTCATTCCAGCAGGTCTTCGTTCCAGATACATACACATACGGCTCCCAGACAGGAGCATCAGCTAAAAGTGCCAACGCCGTCGCAAGATCCCTTGCGGTGGTGACATCGACTGCATCGGTTCCCGTCCCGGGAATAACAATCTGGTTCCCTGTGATGTCTATCGGGAATGCTTCACCGATATCCATGAGGTACAGGTTCCTCTTCGGCACGATGTAATCGACTAGCCAGCCGTTGACGACCAGTGTCCATTCTATCTCTGTTTGTTCGCGTAAGACCTTCCGGATGGGTTCTCGTGTATCATAGTAGAACGTTGGCAGGTCGGGGTAGTTTTCTATGTCGCCGAAGAACTCGGATGGAATGAAGCGCTTGCATTTCGGACTAAGTTGACATGCCTTGATCAGGTTCAGGTGGACGTCGATAAACTCCGCCGTGTACGCTAGTATCACAGATATGAGCATCTCGCAGTCCTTAAGTGCGGTCACTATGGAGGGAACGGAGTAGTCGGTGAGTACTTGGGTGATGTGTGGGCGGTTGCGGAAGCATTCTTTCTCTCTGCGAGTTAGAATGACTACCGAGTGGCCATGCTTGGGAAATTCATCGCTGATGTATCTGGCTAACCCGCCAGCTCCGGCTATAGCGATACGCATGGTGGATAACGTGGTCTTGGACGGTGTTCTCTGAACGCAGTGCAAGTTGATGAAGTGTATGTGTAGAATACCAGACTAGGAACTGGTTATTACCTGGCTTATATACCAGGGTTTGTTCACGGGTTTTAAGCCGTAGCAGATACACGGGATAATCATCATGGATGACCAATTCTTCCACCATTCATATACTTTACACCATAATCCATCGAGAGTAATTTGTATTGGAGCTACTTCCTATTTCAGCTACTTCCTGTTATAGCTATGTAATATGGTGGCTATTATATATATATCTTCTTCATATAACTATTCACAAGTCCAAAGTCGTCCTGTCTATGTAATTTGTACTAATAAGTGGATCTAAATTAACAATCTTAAGGTTGAGAATCTTAAATCGTTAATCTGAACTAATTATACAATTTGCGTTGAAATAATGAATGTTTTCACGTAATAGGTTCCCCATATATAGCATAGATACTATACTAGTAGGACTCAGGAGCCTATACTAGTTTCATTCGGGGATAGTGAATTGCTCACTCACACATCTGGCAGGTCACCTCCAGCATTCGTAGGCCCATTTGGATCATCAAGCGCACCGGGAACATTGACGGTTGAGCCAGAGCCGGACACAAAAGTTAATCCTGACCGAATGAGACTATGGTCAGGATTCCCGAGGTATTGCCAACTGTACTCTCTCATCACTCAAGGCTATTTACTCCATTTGCGAAGACTCGATTTGTCATCGTCAGTCGCAGGGCTTTATACAGTGTGGAGCAGTAACTCCTGGCTCTATCACTCCGTGTGTGTTTCAAACTGCCGAGAGTCTTCTTCTGCGAGGTGGTAGCAGGGTTACATCTGTATACAGCCGTTTTCCATTTATTCGAATGCAATCCAGGAAAACCTATAGTGCTAACGACGTACATCTTGAACCCTCCGACGCCGTATCATTCCAAGTGAGTCTGTCGCAAGCACTCCAGAGGATTCAGTCCTCACGGAACTATATAACTGGAGCTCGAGATATGTAGCTTGGCAGTTCGAACTCTTGGCCAATATTGCCCGGCCCCCAAAGGATCCACTAATCTCGGAGTATTCTAATTTTATGCACAAATGTTTTGTGTTGTGCATCAACTACATGCTGTCTTACAAGCAAGCCTTGTTGAAACTCTGTGGTAGCCAATATAAGACGCTTTCCCAGTTATAGGGCTATAAACCTCACATTCATGAGGTGATTTTATTCACTCGTCTCGGCTAAGCGGACTACAGGGGAAGCCATGAATAATAGCAAGCAATATTTATGCCGAAACTTCCGATCTGCATAGAAATCAGACGATCGGGGCATTTCCCGAAGCGAGCTAGAGTTCATCATTCACGAAGTGCCCAATCAGGCCAATGCTACTCGTTTATCCTCTCCATAGTCAGGGGCGAAATCAAGGAAGTGGCTGAAGGAGGCAGGGCTACTGTCAGAGCCTCACGATGGGGCTAGGGATGCATTTAATTCGTGACATCGTCTACATGTCAGTATCAACTCGCAATACTTGCCCCGAAGATGTAAGCCAGCAGACATCAGGTACCCCGTATGATGTCGGCCTAGCCCTGAGTGCTGCTGATCGATACCTGTTCAGCCATCTCACCCTGCGGCTGTACCCGATTTGGTGCTCCGCCATCCTTAGGTACGCCAAGCTCTCCGCCGTTGGTAATTAGGGCTGATGTTATTTCAATAAACATAAACCTCCGTACCTTACATAAAATAGTTATATATACTGACTCTGACGAGTGTAGGATACTCTCAGTACCAGACTTCTCCTCTCAAGCCTTCTTAAAGTTAGCACAATTCAATAGTAACGCAACAACACCATGGTCCACATGAAACCAGCCAACGTTGCCCTTCTCCTTTCATTATTTCTTACCGATGGCCTTGCTGCAGATACCAAGCTCTCTGAGAGCCTCGTAGGCTGTGATGAAGTATCATGTCCCAAGGAAAGCTCCTATGATCGTTGCACAGTCGGCGACAAGACATTTCTAGGCATCGGTCTAGCTCGCATCCCCAATGTTCCCTCAGCACTCGAAGGCCTGTCCCTTATCAAGGGGGTCAATGTCTCACAAGGGGACGATGGAAAGCGGCCGTTCAATTCAGCATACTACCTCGGAACGCCGTCAGAACTCGACGTCAAAGACTTAAGCGGCTGTGTCGTGACCTTCAACGACCCCCCTGAGAAACAATTCGACGGCCCCATAAAAACAGGCAAGGACAGAAACATCACCGATGTCCAAGCGGCACGTGGTACATGTCCGGACGTCATTGAGCAGAGGTGTATCGATTCACTTACGGAGCGGGCGCGCAGCGTTACTAATACCACTTCGACTGGGGATGTGTGCGCGGCGTTGGAGCGCGAGCTAAAGCAGAATACATTTGAGGGGTGTGGGGATCTCGGTGGGAAGGGTAAGGGTCTGGGGAACTTTACCGTTACCTCGTTTGGGGATCTCTCGACAGTGAAGAACTCGACGGATTGTTGGCCTATTAAGCCCAAGTCTGATGGTTTGGCCCTGATCACGGAGAATACTGCTATGGTACGTGATATATATAAAATTTGACCCGTCTTTTCTAGGGTCGAATATATTTCCTGGAAGCATAGGCTGACATACGATACTATGATGCAGGGAAACAATTCTGCGTCTTCGATGTACCAAGAGGCCTGGAAAATTACCCCGGTTCTGACTGTATTTATTGGCAAGGGCAATAATAGCCTGGTGGATAGAGCCTCTTCCCAGATGACATGTTTGAAAGTCGTAACTGAAGAGAACCCCGAAGAGGAGGAGAACGGCTCTAAGAACTCAGCATCCATGCTTAGCACCAGCCCGCACACCTCAATTATGGCTATTCTTATAGCTGCCGCCTGGGTAGCGCTCTAGATGTAGCCTAAATGAGATACGCCGAGATGATATACTTGTTAGTTTCTGATTAATACAGAGGTGTACCCAAACAAGGCATGATAAGCTTTTTCAAGGATCTTGGCGAATTTACCTTCAGCGATTTCAAGACTCTTTTATCCTGCTCCAGTACAAACAAATCCAAGTGTAACACAGCCAATGTAAAGCTTGTATGTGCGGAATGTATGGTTTAATCATGTAGTTGGAAGAACTCCCACTAAGCTTTCTTCTCTATAGCAAAATAATTGATTAATTTATCAATCAAGTCAGTGTGGCCGAGTGGTTAAGGCGATAGACTAGAAATCTATTGGGTTCGCCCGCACAGGTTCAAATCCTGTCGCTGACGTTTCTTTTTGACTTTTTTGCTGGTGGACACGGCAGCCACTAATTTCCCGTTATACTACGGAGTACGGTGTAGTGCAGAGTGCACTGTTTGTGTCGAGTCCCATGGCTACGTTATATCCTTAGTAGACAACGTCCTCCCTCTATACCAGTTCGGGATCTATTCCAGTGACCGCTGAGATCCCCCTTCAAGACTGTAGCAGTGTCTAGGAAGACACTTCGTCTCTTTTCCTTGTTAAGCAATATCTTCGATAAGGCCGATTGCATGGGGAATTTGTGCGGTTGCCTCTGCCATTCTCAACCGCAGACTTTCCCGTATGGTTAATCTCCATCGTACTTTGCAGACCTACCTTGACCGTCGATGTAAGAATTAGGGCTCCACGCTGCGTCCTTCAAGCTCAGTTTCGGTTACTTCCCAGTGAAATTCAGTAATTACTCTTCTTTCCTGTTCTCGCCGTTATACCAATGATGAGTTCAGTGCTTCGATCCCAGATAGGGCTGGTTACATCGCTGACTTGAAGGTCAATTCAGGCCATGTTTGTTTCCACCATGAGGCCTGGCGCGTTGCCTTTGATTGCGAGATTATGGCATCGTTGCACAGAAGCATCTGCTGTGGTACGCATGTTTGTGCAGTATCGCGTAGTGTCACGTAGATGATGGTGAGCTTCTTTCTGGTAGACTTTTCAACTTGTTACCATTAAGAGGCAAGACCAGCCAAAGATTGCTATCACACCAAAAGTCCCGCGTTAACAAAAGTGGTCAATGCGAAGGGAACTGCTCCAGAGTACATTATTTATGCCCTTGGAACGAATAAAAGGTCGTCAAAAATCCAAAAAGAAACGTCAGCGACAGGATTTGAACCTGTGCGGGCGAACCCAATAGATTTCTAGTCTATCGCCTTAACCACTCGGCCACACTGACTTGATTATTAATAATTCGTCGTCCCAAGGTAATATGAGTCTAAGAATAAAATAAGGTGGTGTTGCAGGAGTTCTCTATCTGGACACATTTGGTGGTCTGCCGTGAACCAGCCATGGACGTTGCTGTGATAGGCGTACACTTGAGAGGTCAGCCCATTACAGGCCCAATGAGCGATGAACCATGGTTGACATTCCGGTTCGACCTCGTCCCGGTACTCAAAATATGGGCGTCATACCACTATGATCCAGCAATGAAGCAATTCCAATGGAGATCCGCTCCAATGGCCATGCGAGGGTAGATATGTTTTCTGTCGTCCGTAGTACAGAATTGAAATCCGCCTGGAACGTTGTCGTGGTCATGAGACCTGCTATCTGGTGCACCGGGTAACGTGAAGCCAGTATAATATATTCATCCACTCCCTTTGTAAAGCCTCGGATATTTATGTTCCAATGTGTAAGGCAAGCAAATAAGTCAGATACCCACCATGTCCTACATTTATTCACACGAAGACAACGAAATTGCATCCTCTATTGAACAGAGGATACATGCCATGCGTAGCTATCAAGCGTAAGTCTGTGACACCCTGGGGAGCGGGAATAGACAAAGTTAACGATGTCGAGTCCAATAGTGCACTGAGAAGTCGCCGTGCGTCTCAGGGAGCTCGAGATGCCGAGGAGACACACGACGATGAACCACAAACTTTGGAAGAGTCGCACACTGGCCATCAGCAGACTAAGGAGCCGATACCAGCCGTAGAAGGATTCAGGGTGTGAGCAGTTTCTATTCTCGAGGCTTCTGATCATTACATACTGATCTATTAAGTGTTCATTTCGATCCCAGGCCATCTGATACGATCAGAAACGCTCCAGACGAAGATTCAGATGTAGTGCATCAACTGGAAGAGTGATAGCCATACTCCGTACTTGCTATTGCAATGTGAAAGGTGTACAATACGATATCGCCTCAGTCTGGATATGATTACATGACTCGCATCTGTGTGACGTATAAATTACCGGAAAGGGATTCATCAATTTATCTTTCAGTGATGAAAGTTTGATAGTACGCAGTATACTAGTTAGTATATACTAGTACCCGAATGGCGCATGCGGGGAAATCTGAAGGAGTTGCCGGATTCCGTGACAAAAAAATCTAACTAATGGATAAATAATACCAAGTGCAAGTCAATGAGTTGGGCAAATATTGAATTTTTACCTTTTTTACTTTGATTTTTTTTTCTCACCTTGAGTTCAAGTGTCACAATAGTGTTACACGATCCGAGACGCGCTCTTCCGAGTCCCGAGAGGATTGCCGTCACGGTCTCGGACTCCCGGGCTTTGGGGTAAGCGTTCCACACTTCATATACTGCGTAAGGACTCGTGTAGGGCCTAGGAGCAGGGATCGGGTACAGCCGCGTTATGGAGTATTGTATTGCCCTTTTGCGATATTACAATTGGAGTCGTGATCCGCATGAAACGGTCAATGTTACTCAGTAGTTGCAGTGATACTTCCGGAGTTCTCGGCCAAGGCACAGTATGACAAACTTCTTGAACACAAGGACAAGGGCAATTCTATTGATAGATGGACCGACTGACTGAGATTCAACTACGGGGAAAGCTTATCCGCGGGGGAAGAGGAACGTCCGTGCTTCTCATGTTAGTCTTGATGGCGGCCAATTACCGTTCAGTATTTTGATAGAGATTTAATAATTCGTGTTACTTAAGGACGTGGGGTGAGATGTGATCGTCCAAGCCAAAATGGAAGATTAAAAGCCATCTTATAGGGTGGTCAGAACAGAGCCCTGTCATGGCCGCTTGGACCTGCAGCAAGCGTCAAACTGCGGGAATAATGCACAAATCAAGGGGCACCAGACATGGATGCGTGTCCGACAAGGTCCGATAGCGGGCTGTTTATCAAACGAAATCATGATTCCAAATATAACAAAAATATAGTAAGAGAAGAAAAGGAAACGAAAGGAAAGGAGAGGGGGATTGATAACAACACCAGTGAGAGTACTAGCCTCCAACAACATAGAAGATAGAAAGAAGACACCATTTAATTATGCTAGCAAGCCAGACCAAATCATTACGTCACGGTCTCCTTGGGTTCACCTGATTCTACTTAGTCCCCGCCAATATCAGCCCCATCAGTTGGAGAAGCGAGTAAAAAATCTAACGGCCGATAAAAATCAGATCGGAGGTGGATTCTCCATTCCCACCGCAGAATCCTGAAATGGCAATGGGGGTAAGACTAGTCCCTGTCGGGATCGATTGGATATGAGGTCTCGGAACTTTTACCCGGTCAAACTGGTTCTTTTCATACCGCAGCCCTACCGGTATCTTACCAACTATCTTTTAAGGTGCACCTACATACGGGACAAGTCTATCCCTAGACAGACATAAATTACCCTCCAACGATGTATGGTACAGGTACCTCAATACGAGACTCATACACGGTCAGGTGGTTGACGTAATGTTGATCTTTGCCTGTCTGAAATGCAAATCTATTGATCCATTTGACTATTCGACTATTATTGATTGCTTGATCAATGCGCTGGCAGCAACCACACGATGGATGATCACAGGTCCAGACCGTGGCTTGCACCGTGACTTGGCATTCTTGCCAAGGGCCATGGATATACGTTGATTCCCTTAAACTCCCTCTTCGGGCATTCACCTCCTCCTTTGTTCTTTCCTCCAAATCGTTTGTCTTTGTCCCTCGTCTCTCCGCGCCGTGTCACTTCTTCATCCTCTCCTTATGTACTATTGGAGATAGTATCCCACAGTGTTCAATACTCTCCCACGCAACTCTCTCTGATACCTTGGCCTACTTCGACATTTCTAGCCATACACGGTTTAGTGCACCCGGCCATCTCTGCTTGAACGAGAAAGAAAGGCAAAGAGAGAGAGAGAGGAGGGGGGGAAAAAACCCCTGACCGGTGGGTATTCTTCCAAGGGGCACATTCCCTTTTTCGGTGGTTGAAGTTACATTCCCGCCTAATCGTGACAACATAGACGACGGTTCCTGTTCCGCAGTACCCTCTTCCGAAATCAGTCTGATGAAATCAACCGTCATGGCCAACAGGGTGGATAGCCCTACGTCGTGCACCTTCATCCGAAGCAGTGACTGTAGTAAACAATGTTTCGTTCAACGTTTTTCACAATGGTTATGGTCATCCTGGATTATCAGTCCCGCAGAAGCCCACCCCGCCCTTGCGGAGCCGCCGAGCCGTCAAAAAGACAGGAATGCTTCTTGGCCGTCAGAGCCAAGTCTAGACGCTGAGCAGCGTGAAGAAGGAAGCGAGGACACAAAACGTTCAACGTTTCCATGTAAGGCGTGTGAATCGCGGGGTGTTGCCTGCGATCTACAGCGACCGCGATGCGCACATTGCCTGGATGAGCAACTCTTATGCTTCTATGTGGCGCCCCTGCCTCCCTTGCGCGCGACTAGACGTTCAAAAAAGCCGCACTCCACACATACAGAAACAGTATTGCGCTCACGGGAGATTGACACTAGCGGATGATCGTTGGGGGAGCTTCGACATTAAATTAATTTACATTTTTCTTAACCGCCGTGATAAGATAGGCGTCACTCTTCTCTTCACGCAGATTAATTAAAGATATAATTTCTGGTGATGCACTCTAGGAAGGGAGACTGGATGTACACCAGCAAGAAATCCTTGCAAAAAAATATATATATAATCTTCACATGATCCCTGACACCCCACGCTGTCATCAGTAAGTTTTCTGCGCCTTACGGATAATTGACGGGCCCAGACAATACTGGGATCCGTCCACATTGAAGACTACTCGGAGATAAAGAAATTCGGCTAGCCGCCAGCGCCTACATATGATCTCAACACGAGACCTTTGTTACCTGATGCTCTAAGCTGCAGAGAGGGTCTCGTTGAGTAACCTCGGGTGACGGTGGACAGAGCTCCGTAAAACTGAAGTCATTGCTGTCGGAGCACTGTGAGCCGGTCTCTCCACACCCCCAGACATACTTCAAAGATGGGGTATTTTCTATTTGAGCTCGTGCTGTACAGAGTTTGGGTTACCATCTTGACGAACAATTCAATTGTCGGGTCGTTGGGGTTAACGCGTCTGCACGACCGCTGAGGACCGATTATTCATAGTGAGTCGCCACGCAGCTACACGCTGACACAACATGCATTCTTCTATAACCTTATTTGAAAGTAAATCGCGCATCTAATGTTACACACAGATGGAGGAGGAGTACACGCGTATCGCGGACATCATTCGCCACCGGGCCAAAACCCATGATAAGAAGCGCTATCTCGTTGCCATCGCCGGCGTGCCCGGCTCTGGCAAAACAACAACGGCAGCTGCCATTGCGCAGCGTTTGAATTCAGGGAAAACCCCTATCCAGACTGAGCTGGTCTCTATGGATGGCTTCCACCTGTCGCGGGCGACACTAGACCAGCTTCCGAATAGTGAAGAGGCATATATCCGGCGTGGAGCGCCGTGGACCTTTGATGCTGCCCGATTCGTTTCCTTCGTTCACCAATTACGGCAGTGGGCAGATACATTCTCCGACAAAACCATCTATGCGCCTGCCTTCCATCACGAAACCAAAGATCCAGTGGAGGATAGTATCATGATATCGAGCGACGCGTCGATCCTCATCATTGAAGGCAACTACCTCCTCCTGGATGAGCCTGAATGGCGCGACATCGCACGACTGGTTGACTACCGTGTATTCGTCGACACGGATCTGCAAGAAGCACGGGACCGTGTGGCGAAGCGTCACGTCAGCGCGGGGATAGAAAAAACGATAGAAGATGGGTATCGTCGGGTCGACAGTAACGACTATTTGAATGCGCTTACAATCCGGGACAAGCTGATCCAGCCTGATATGGTGGTCCATAGCATCCCCGAGGAATCACCATAGCTTGCTTCTATTGGCCTTCCTATTTACACCATAAACAGCACCACATTTGTATATAACGACTTATGTCTAGACTGCAACCCTCTCACTCCTTAATCTTCTGTTTGTGAAACACGCCTGAGCTCATTAGCAACCACACGCATCATGGAGAGTGATATGGAAGAGTTACCGGGAATCTCTGGCATCCAGGTAACCCTGGAGCTGCAGAAGAACTCGCCCTTTGGTGGCAGCGCCTCGGGATCATCCAAGGACCCAACGCACAGGTAGCGGAACTGATCTTTGACAGCATCCTACGAGCGTCAACACAGAATCCTGCCAGCATAACGTCATATATCCCTACCCCATATTCACAGATAAAACTGCCACAATTCGAGCAAAACTCGCGATGAATCAGTGATCCCGACCCATTATCGGCCACATGTTCCTTTGGGGCGCCTTTAGTGAGTCGGAGAGCGTCTTTGGGGATCTTCGCGGTTAGACCGTAGTTTGTTCCGAAAGCTTTCTGTTCCTGCGTTAGTAAAATTCACCATTAAAAAAAATAGAGAGGCCATATTGCCGTGTCTGCGTACTTGGCAGCTTTTACAGTGGCACAGGGAAGTCCGTGCGTCGTCGGGTGAAGAGAGGGACAGTTCGTACTGGATATCCCGGCAGTAACATGATCCAGGGTAAGTCGGCATAGTTCTTGAGAGTGATTGGAAGCAGTGGACGGAGCTACAATAGAGGTTTGGCCAGCTGAATTGACAGAGAGATGAGTTCAGTCGCGGGCGACATCTTGAGTTGTATAGGGCTCGCCGGAGAGTTGACGTCATATTTTGTTGTGTGGCTCATTTCTTTCGTTGTAGAGGAAAGTCGCGTAATCATCTGGTATCTTACTTATTTATAGCTACGGTATACTCAAAGTCTCCTGCAAAATCCATGGCTGGAGAATCCGTCCAACTTAGGGTTATGAAGGTGTGATGTGATCATGACCGACACTCAATGCGCACTGACCAGTTTCATTCTTCTCTCATAACATATCACAATGTATCACACCACCCTCTCATTCGCCATTTCTTCCATATTTATAGGATGTGCCGTATTGCCTTAATGTATCTGCTATTATCTCACCGATACAATGGCATCCATAGGCATCCTCAAGTGAAATACGCCCTATGACCGTTAGGTCTGCGATTGATTTATTGTCTGCTGCGGGGTAAATCTATTCCACACCCAACCATGACACTCAACGAAATGGCGACAGAAGCTCAGGGCTCCCAGGGCTCCCAGGGAACCCAACAATCTCATAGCATGACGAAGAGAGCTGTCGTCTCTTCCTTTATCTTTCGCTTCCCTCCGGGGCAGTCTACCAATCCGTCCGTAGCGTTGTTCAAGCGGAGCGATAAAGTGAGGACATACCGGTATGATGCGACTTCCACAGCAACCGTTCCTGGTACCACTTCAGTAACATAACTCTCCCTATAGTCATCACCTTGCTCCTGTCTCCGGTAGCATCGATCCGTCCGATCCTGACCCTCTCGCGGCGGCATGGCGTGAACTGTGCGAAGAAACCGCCCTCACCCCATCGGATCTCAGCTTCTGGCGCACCGGCAAGCCATTCACCTTCAGCGACCCGTCCATCGGCCGAGAATGGACCATTCATCCGTTCGCTTTTCGTCTCAAAGATCCCGCAGAAGGGGGCCAGGGGGAAGAGGCTATTCGGACTGACTGGGAACATGAAGAGTGGCAGTGGTACGATCCTCGCACGGTGCTCGAAGATGAAAGCCTGAACACCGTTCCGCGTCTGCAAGACAGTTTAAGAAGAGTCTGGTTCGAGGGTATAACCAACGAACGAGCGGGAAAGGCCCTTGCGGCTGGTCTGGAACGGCTGCGAGCGGACCATGAGAGTGGCGCGCATGAGTTGACGGCAATAGCGCTCACGGTATTTCGTGACTTCATCGTGTACACACAAAATCACCTCGATGCGGAATGGTGGGACATGATTCGAATGGCGGCATGGCATCTCATCAAGAACGGACGGGAAAGCATGGGTGCAGCCACGCAGAACGCCGTGCTATCTGTTCTAGCGGAGATAGAAGAGATCATGGAGCAGAAGACCGGTGCCGAGCAGAAGTGGGATCGGATCCTGGCTCTGATCGATTTCCACCTGAGGAATCGCGCCGATACTGCACAGCAGGTCAAGCATTCCTTCGTCTCCTACCTTCAGTCCCACTTTTCGTCCGGTGGCACACAAAAGGACCGGCTTACCATGCTCACTATATCCTCTAGTTCCACAATCCGGGACAGTATCTTGGAAGCATACGACGCGCTTGGTGTTCAAACACTTGAACTGCGGGTCCTCGAGTCAAGGCCACTTTTCGAGGGTGCCAGCCTGGCCTCGTCGATCTTGTCGACGTTCAAATCACAGTCGAACTCCCCCGACAAACATCTGCATATCACGATGTACACCGATGCATCAGCTGCACTGGCCTCCAGAGACGTCGATATTATCCTGCTCGGTGCGGACCGCATTTCCGCCACCAAGGGTGTCAGCAACAAAACTGGATCCCTGCCTTTGGTGCTCAGCGCGAAGCATGTCACTCCAGGCGTGCGGGTTGTCGTGCTCAGCAACATAGAGAAGGTTAATGGAACGGCTGGGGTAATTGACGACGAACTCGCCGAGGGCAATGATCCATTTGAGGTGTCAAGTGCATGGCGCAGCGACGGTGTCAAGGGCGTGCAGGTGCTAGAGAATGGTATGAGAGGGAGCAAGTCGGAGCAGGAGAATTCGTCTGTCACAGTGGCGAATACTTACTTCGAATGGGTTCCTCTGGACATGGTGGATGCCTTCATCTGTGAAGAGGGGGTCCTTGGGAAGGATGGTATTCAGGAGAAGTCCCGTAATCTGGCAGAGAAGGCCGAGCAGTACTTCAGTAATTTGTAATGATGGCGGTCGCTCAGCTAGTTGAACTTGACCATCGATTGGCCTATGGGCTGCAGGTAGATAGCATTTCACATGCCATGACTGTCCTAAGTCGAACCAGGCATGCTATTCTCAAATGGCACGTAGCCCTCAACAACAAGCTCATATAAACCACATCTACATGAAAAGACATATATCATCCACCGTAGATTACGCAAAGGAAAAGGCCCCTACGGGATGTCCAGGGCATTTGATCCTGTCTATGTGATTTCGAGATGTGCATATTGGGACGAAGCCATGGTAGAACGAAGTCTGAGATTAAGAGAGCTAAACAAGTCCGTACATGAAACAGTATTTCTAAAAGTAGAAAAGGGGTGTATCTTCAACGATGAACTCCAAACACCGGCTTAAAAGGCAGGGATATCTAACGCCAATCACCATCCAAGGTATCATTAACAATCACGAACGCGCGCTTGTCGCTTGGCTGTCCCAATGTGGGTGTTGTGCACCTTCGTGGCGAACTTGAGACTGGTCAAGGTCTCGGCCAGGTGTGCCTGCAGCGGACTGACCATGACAAACATGAGCGTCTTCGAATTTCCTCCTAAGGAGAATTGGAGGAGGTAGGTGAGCTATAACTCGTTAGTACCTTGTTTTCAAATAGAACAGCGAGAGATACCTACTTTGCTGTTGCGATAGGGAATGTGTCCACCATCCTTGCCCTGTCCCAATGCGGCAATCACATCTCCTAAGCAGCTCAGACTGCGGTTTATATTCTGCGTTTCCCGCAGCCGCTCGCCAGTTGCACCGCTGTGGCTCAGTCGCTCACTACCGGCCAAGTCCACCAGGTTGAGCGTCCCCTCACTGCGCTCGCCGGTGATGTCATTCTCGCCGATGAGCTTCAGGATGAAGACGGAGTGAGACCGCGATGATCTCTCATTGGCCTTTGTAGCAGCGACCGAACGATTGGCCGCAGCACGTTTGAGGATACTTTCGACCATTTCGGGCGAATCCAAGCGCACAGTGGTAACATCTGTAATGATCGTCTTGCCTCGTTGCATGTCGTGCCGGATCTCGTGCTTCTTCTTGTCCAACTCCTCTGCCTTGCCCAAAAGATCGTTCAGATTCTCATTGTACACCTCCACGAAGTTTCCTTCCATCGTATACCTCCAACCCTTTTCTTTGAGACCAGTAGCAGTCTCGTAGATTTGGTGTACAGCCCGTGGAATCATGCCATCCAACGAAGACATAGTGTAGGTCTTACCGCTACCGGTCTGTCCATAGCAGAAAATACACACGTTGTACCCATCAAGCGCACTTTGGACAAGCTGGCTGATCTCATCGAATACCTCCGCATTCTGGGTAGATGGTCCGAATACCCGGTCAAAGGCAAAGCCGTTATTTTTCTTGGTAATGACGCCCAGGCTGCTCTTCTCTTCCAGTCCCATAACATTAATCTCCTTGCATTCCTCTGATGCATCGGGGTATTGAATCTGAGCCACGCCCGTCTGCGGCTCCGTCTCTAAAGAGGGTCGGACACGGCAGAAGACACGGATGTTGCCCTTGAGCTCCTGAACCTGGTTGTGTAATTTCCTTCGGAGGGTCTCCTCCTTCCGCAACTTGTCCTTGGTGGCGTTGGTCTCGGCCAGGGCATCCATCATTTGCTGATTCAACCGCTCAAACGCTTGAGATTGCTCCTCGCGACCGGATTCCAGGAATTCGATTCGAGCCTTGAGCGCGCGAATCGACGACTCTAGAGTCACGCTATTGCTGCTAGCTGTGTCCAGGTTCTGCCGGAGACCCTGGGTGCTCTTGCGCTCCTGCTCAACCTCTTGTCGCAGGGCTTGCACATCGTTCTGGAGCGAGGCGATTTCCCGATCTTTCCTGTCCAGCTCAATCTGTGAGTGTTGTGCATCTAGGGCGGTCTGAGATGTAAGTTGGTTGATTTCACGGAGTCGCGAGGCTTTTTCGTCGTCCATTTCACGCTCGAAGCGCCGTCTCAATTCGGAGAGTTGGTCTTCATGCTGCGCAGTTATGGTCTGTATCTTCTTCTTGCTATCAACTCTCACAGTCTCGACTTCAATCCGTTGCTGAGAACTGAACTCATCTATCGCGAGCTCATGTTCTCTCTGGGCCTCCTGTAAAGCGCCTTCTGCTGTTCCTATGCGAGCCTTCACTGATTCGAGTTCGACGCGCAAGGCCAGATTTGCCTCGGTAAGATCTTTTCGCGACTGTTCGAGCTCGTTCACTGCAGATTGAACCGTGTGAGCACCTTTCCACCCTATTGGTAGATCTTGGACGATTACCTCTTGATTTATACAGCTCCACTGTTTCTTTGAGTCCAAAACTCTCTTGGCCAGCCTGACTTACTCGGGAGACAAAGGCGTTGAAGAACTCCTCCATCGTCTTCTCGCGTGTTTCTTGGTCCCACTCGGCGCCTGTAGAGCAGTTAAAAGAGGTGATCATGGAATTTTTGGTCAGGAACTGGGGCACGGGGGGAGGTTTCCTCTTTGAGGAATGTTTAGATGGTGATGGGAGCTTGCATGATGGAGTGGGCGTAGTAGGGGTATTTAAGCCAAGGGGAACGAATGGCCTATGCGTTGGGCAGGTCTTTGGGTCCAGCATCCTGGCGGGGAGAGGGCCCATGGTTGACGGATCTAAAGCATCACGTCGGTCAGGGCGCGAGGATCCTTCATCCTCTTCAGAAGAATACGACTGAGCTCCCGACCGAACCTGTGCGACACGTTCATGCATGCTTGCTGATAACGATGGGGCCGCGAAAATTGCAAAATTAGGGGAATCAAAGTAAAATGGTCGCCTACCCTTTCTCTTCCCCAAGATGCTTGAATCTTCCTCATTATGGGTATCCAACGAAGTTGCTGGGCGGGCAATTGTATGGCCATTGGGCCTCCGGGCGCCGGCAAGCGAAGTCTGAGGGCGTGATAATGCCGAGTGCGGTCGCGTACTGGATCCGGTGGCGTGGGACGCTTTGGTAGTTCGTGAAGCATTAGACGCGGATCTAGTCACGGTGGTCGTTGCATGGGAATTAACACGAGTATGAGGTTTTCCTGACAAGGTCGTGGACGTTGCTCTGGTTCTGGTGGTCTCGGCGCCTTGTGTGGTACTCCTCGGACGAGTCGGTTCTGTCCCTGTGAGCGTTGCAGTCCTGCTAATCCTGCCTGCTATCTCACTTACGCGACGATGTTTTAGCGATTGAGCCAGGTGGCAGGATGCCTGACCGCGAATTAGTATTAGCCGAGCTCATTTCTCTGAGCCCAGCGGCGGGTATGCGTGTGCGGGCAGGCGCTCGTGATTGCGTCTGGGAGTGTGTCAGTCAGGCCGGAGACCGAAGTTTGTCACGTCGAGCATCATTACCAGGTTCTCATTATCCATCATGTACGAAAAATAAACAATTGCTGGTATCGGTAAGAGGATACTCAGATAGAGAGGAGAGATGAAGGCAGGAGCTTTTGGAGCCACCGTCTAGAATGGAGAGAAAAACACACGGCAAGCTATACAAACAGACGAACAGTCAAAGCGGGGAAGAGCGAATCACCATGAATTGTCGACAAATTGCAGTGAGGAGGGGTCCCGCATGGTAAGTGAGTAGCGCGAGGGTCGTCAGTCGCCAGGGAATCTTTACCCAGTGATGGATGTTGAGTTTGGTTTGGAAGTTTGGCTTGTCGTTTACGATCCAAGCGCCGGTTTCTGGAGTAACGCAAGGCGGTAAACAAACTGAGCAAATTGGGCATCGGGGCGGTGCTGACTCAGCCACTTTTCGGCGGGGAGGCGCTAGTCCCAGAGAAGGCTAGGCGTATCGTATCCATTTGAATGATACCTTACCCTCCTCCGAGTAATTCTGTACAACGGTGTATGCCCAGAAGCAACCGGCGTTACCATGGTATCATACCGACTGTATACCACCGTCACGAGATGTCCGGGTTGGGATCAATTTTTTTTTCTACGAATACGTTCTCAACAATTGAACGGTTACTGACTCTGATGTTGATCATCACATTGCGTGGACCCCCATAATCCATTGCCTGCAACCGTCGCCCAGTGAATCCATCTCCCGCGTGCGGGTCGTCCCACCGAAGACCTACTTTCAGACTAAGAGTGGACGGCGTCGACTTTCCCAGACCGACAGCTTCCCTGTTTCATAGTTGTTGCCCTTCAATTGCTCCTCTCCTCCTGTTCGGTTTCGCTTTTTTTTCCTTTGTCGTGATCACAGTTTTTGTCGAGTCTCAATCTGTGCCAGCGTGATGTCTGGTCGTTTCGTCCGTTCCTCTAAATACCGTGAGCTGCCATTACATTCCCTCCCCTCTTTTTGCCCGCAATCTGACAGGTATCATTTTAGGACACGTCTTCGGGCGGAACACAAGAAAGGTACCCAGCCAATTTCTCGGCATCGCAATACCATTACCCCATTGACAACGCCTGTAGGAGCAATGTTATGATAACCTCCGCGTGTCCGCAAATGCCTGGGACAGCAATCTCGTCAAGGTTCGCCCACCTCCGTCCCACGCCGACACCCCCCTGAGCCGCCCGCGCGAGATAAACTAATGGCTAGTCAAGGTCAACCCCAAATACCTCTCTGTAAACTGGGCAGCCGGTGGAGGTGGTGCGTTTGCCGTCATTCCTCTGGAAGAGCGGGGCAAACTGCCTGAGAGAATCCCTCTGTTCCGTGGTCACACTGCAGCAGTCTTGGATACCGACTGGTGAGCAGCGGCCACTTCATCTTCAATCCAAGTCACACGTCAAGAAAGCCAACATACCTAGGAACCCTTTTAACGATGACCTGATTGCATCCGGTTCCGATGACGGCAAGGTACAACGCGAGACTAATCCGAGCGTTCCAATCCAAATACTAAATAATTATATCTAGGCTCTCTTGTGGCGCGTACCCGAAAACTTCACCCTCCGCCCCGATGTCGACCTCGATGATGTTCAGGATATTGCGCCTGTCGGAAAGCTGAGCGGTCACCCCAAGTCAGTCCCTCACCACTGCGCCTACCCCGTCGCAGTCGTACTTTAAACGCAGTGAACGATTAACAACATTACAGAAAAATCGGACATGTGCTCTTCAACCCTGCGGCGGAAAACGTCTTGGCTACGTCCTCCGGCGACTTCACTGTCAAGATTTGGGATATTGAGGCCGGTGCCGCCAAGCTCACCTTGAACGTGGGCGATATGGTTTATTCGCAGTCCTGGAGCGCCAATGGCTCCCTCCTGGTCACCACCTCTCGTGACAAGAAGCTCCGGATCTGGGATGCACGTCAGGAACGTCCCGCGCATGAGGTCCAGGGACACTCGGGTGCGAAGAACAGCCGTGTCGTGTGGCTGGGAGAACGTGACCGGATCGCGACCACCGGTTTCTCCAGGATGAGCGACCGTCAACTTGCATTGTGGGATATGCGCGCTCCTGCAGAGCCCATCAACGGATTCAAAGTTCTTGATTCAATCTCTGGCGTCTGCATGCCCTTCTGGGATGATGGCACCCAGTGCTTGTACTTGGCTGGCAGAGGGTGAGTGAGACTCGTGGTACATCTTAAAAGTGATCTAACGCCATTTAGTGACGGTAACATTCGTTATTTTGAATTGGAGAATGACAAGTTCGAATATCTTGCTGAATACAAGTCAGCCGATCCTCAGCGTGGCATTGCTTTCATGCCGAAGCGCGGTGTTAATATTCACGAGAACGAGATAACCCGTGCCTTCAAGACTGTCGGCGATACCTACATTGAGCCGATCTCTTTCATCGTTCCTCGCCGTGCCGAGTCCTTCCAGGATGATATCTATCCACCGACAATCGGCCTGACACCCGCCATGAGCCCATCCGAATGGTTCGCCGGCAAGGAAGCCATCCCACCGAAGATTTCCATGGCTAGTCTGTATGAAGGAGAGGGCCTGAAGGAGGTTACTGGTGTACAAGACAAGCCTACGGAGACCTTGGGTGCCCCTGTAGCTCAAGCGGAACCTGCGCCGAAGCCTGCAGAGCCGACCCCGGTGAAAAAGGCACCGGAGCCCGAACCGACTCCTGTACACAAGCCTGCCCCGTCCATGAAGGAACAGGGGGCTTCCATGGCTGCCATGGTGAACAAGTTTGCCGATGAGGAAGAGGCGGAGCCTGCGGCTGAGGAGTCCAGCTTTGACGAGGCGCCCAAGCCTGTCGAGCGAGAAACCCGTACCGTGGAGTCTGCCTCGCCAGTCAAGACCAGCCCATGGCACCAGAGGGAGGAGAGCAAGTCGCAGACGGCTTCCAAACCGTCAACCCCTGTTCCAGTAAGCACCATCCAAGGTTGAACCAATAGCCATACCACAAACTAACCATAACAACAGGCACAGAGCACTGCCAGCACTCCGGTTGATACATCTTCCGGATTCAACATTCCCGAGGTCACCAATACGGCCGCTAGCGCCCTCCATGGAGAAATCCAAAAGCTTACACATATGGTCGGGCCTCTATTGAACGAAGTCCACGAACAAAAGCAGCAGATCGAGTGTCTGACCAAGACAATCGAATCCCTCGAGAGCAACCAAGAGAAGCAGATACAAAGCCTGAACGAGAAGATCGTGGCTCTTGAAGCCAGGCTGAGTTAATCAGCCCATCTCTGGCTTTGTATCTATAATAATTGTATTCTTCTTGAATGATTCCTCAGCAAAAGACCGTCTCTCGTTTTGTCCATAGCCATCGATGTCGTGTTACATGCCTTTCATTATGACTGACGGCATGATTGCAATGTCAATGCAAATACCATTTTTGTGCTTCTTTGTTTCTTGTTCTACCTGGTTTTCTTGAGCGGAAATGATAGAAGTTGACGATAATGTGTGGTTAATCGGTTATGATAAATATATATGTTTCCTGAACGACATCATTAGCTGAATCGCGCGTAGATATTAGAGATTTCCCTTTAAATTCCGAACAGTGTAAGGACTCGGAAGAAAATGATGTGAATAGAGGGCTGATAGGTAGTAGTGTTTGGAACGAAGTACAGCACCGCACACAGTATGTGGGTTGGTGGTTGTATGCTGAGGGAATATATATGTAGGTTGACACAGCGACAATCTACTCAATTACATATTGGATTCATTTGTCTCAACAAGCCCTGACACAAGATATCTAGATTCATAAATTGCCGAATGTGGCACTATGTCATCCCATCAGGGATCCCCAGGACGTATATCTACAAAGAACGAAAGCGTAGATACTCATCAACTCCACCGCAAAGTCAACAAAATAATAGCAACATCCATGAACTAAGTATGCACGCTCTCCTTCATGCAAGAACAACACCCCAAACCCACGAAAGATACCTGGAACGCTCTATATGCTCTTTTGTTGTAAGACAGGGGAAGATACGGTGAGGGAAAAGTGAAAGTCATATGGCTTGGAAGGTAGGCGGGGGGTATGAGGACGATATGAAGGATTTTATGCCCACCGGCTGGCTTCTCGCTCTTTTTCTACTCGTGCTGCGCGAGCGGCATCGCTCTCGTCGTCTTCATACTTGTAAGTGAGGCGTCGACTGCCGGCCGCCGGCCGCTCCTGACGACTGTCGCGCCGACGGCTGGTTTTGCCAGCATCGCGGTCTGCATGCATTGCTTCGCGCCGTTGCTGCTCTTTTAACAAACGCTCACGGTTGCGGGCTTCACGCTCTAATGTATGAGGGTCTTTCTCCGGTTCAGAGGTCTTGGCTGATGATGAAGAGGGTTTGTCTCTTGTCCGATCTTTATCACGAATCTCGTCTTCACGGCTTCGTTTGATACGCCGAGAATGGTATCGCGATGAGTAGTCACTGTCAACAGGAGATTCAGTTCGGTCGCGACGAGACCGTTTTCTGTCACGGTCGCGGTCACGGTCACGGTCACGGTGGCGATCGCGGGCTCTGTCTCTATCTCTTTCCCTGTCTCTTTCCCTTTCCCGGTAACGATCGCGATCGCGATCTCTTTCACGGTCCCGACGTCGAGAGTCTCGATCCCTCTCCCGTTCCTCATCTCGACGACTGGGGCGGTCTTTACCAGATCGGTAGGTCCGGCTGGAGCTCTCCTGGGCCTCGCTAACGATGGGTGTCCTGCTTCGAGAGCCAGGATCTTTTTCTTCGGGAATCAATGCGAGACGATCGGCATCGCGAGAGTCCCCATTGCGACTGGGACTCTGGCTGCGGTGGCGGTGTGAGCGATGCGATCGACGACCGCTTCTCCTGTCTCGCTCCCTATCCCGCCGATGCGAGGACCGGCGGGAGTCAACAGAAGGTGAGCGAGTGCGGTGGTCATCTTCCGCTTGAGACTGCTCGTCGTATTTGTCTTCACGACGGGGCCTTCTTGGCCGCTCACGTTTGCGCTCGGAGTCCTCTGCACCGTTTTCAATACTTGCGGAGCGTGGGCGATTGTGACGACGA